TGTGTGTGTGTGTGTGTGTGTGTGTGTGTGTGTGTTAGAAAGGGCCTGTTTTTTATTAACAAGATTATACCTATGTGTATTGTTTTGGTAGTAGGCCTATTTAAATTAATACTTTATTTTGTCCCACATGTGTATACAGATATTTTGCGTATAATCACTAAATAAAAGTCTCTCATATGCATGGTATCATTATTTAATAAAATTATTGTAGGCGTAGTATCCCTCACTAATACATTCTACTTTAGCAATTCTAATGGCGATGAATCTACGTTTCTTCATGCAAATAAAGAACATCCACAAACAGTTGTTTTATTGGTCTGTAGAATGAGTCAGTCTCTGTTTTCTCTCTTTAATAGCTATCCCAGGAAGGCTTGTCTTCAGGGCGTTTCCCAAATATCACAAGTTAGCCATAAGCTGATTCAAATTGTAGAATTTCTCAAACAGGGAAGTGAAACAAATGAATGAATCATCTATTATCATTTATTAAGAGGCACAAAATATCACTGACTGAAAAAGAAATGTAGACTATAATATATGTAGATTTATAACATATACACGGCTGCTACAATGGAATACAATTGATTGGTATGATTTCCATTGATATAGACTGTCAACATGAACGAAGGCTACTAAAACAAAGTAGATAATGCTGGAAAATATCCATTTTGGCGATGATGCACTCTATACACTGTTCCAGCAGTGCTTACAAAAATATTTTCTTTGGTGAAAAACATTGTGTTCCACAAACAGGAGATACACAATTCATTAAGGAGAATGAACGTTTTATTCCATGTAGTTGCATCAGCTCTCTTCTTGAATCAATGGCTGAGAATAAAGTTAAAAATATTCATCAATGTTTTCTGATTGACTGTGCAAATGACAGGACTAGAGGTATACCTAAATTCTACACGGGAGCTATTATATAACGTTAAAAATCTCAAAGTGCAAAAGTGTTTTTTGCAACACACCCTAAAATACAGTAAATCATTGTGAGAATATTTTGTTATTAAACTTACCCTAAAACTGTCCTCTTCTCTTCCTAGGTCTGGTCGTTGCCAGTCTGGATTGGACAGTATTTTATAGACAACTAATCCAAAGGCTACAATCAGGATTCCTAGTGAGTTGGCAAACACGGCCTCTGGTGGCAGCTTGGAATATGGCTGCGTCTGATTGGTGTTTCCTTTACTGGAAAGGGAACGGATAGTATTCAATTCAATACCAACCTGACGAAGATTTCACATGGGGATTGCTTATCTGTGAAGCTACTTAAAATGAAATAACATAAAATGAGATGACAATAAAGCAGCAGAAAACATTATGATAATCACAGTTGCCAAAAATATAGTAACTGCATGCTGTTCAGTTAAAAATTGAAGATTTTAGTCTAAACAAGCAGCACGGTGGTTCAGTGGGTAGCACTCACACCTAAGGCCTGGGGGTTCGAATCCCACCTCTACTACTGTATGTATTCCAGTTTCCTCCCATAGTCCAAAGACATAATTAGGTTAATTGGCACCTTTAAATTACCCACAGTGCACAATTGTAAGTGTGCCTGTCCTTCAATGGACTGGTATCTCTATAGATACCATTACCTATAGCATTATGAAGATGGATGGATGCACTAATGTAGGTGGTTGCTTAACAAATATTAATATAAAAAAAACTGAGGACTCACAGGACGAAGAAAAGCTTCTCATTAATGCCAGAAATGCAGGATGCAATGGCCAGGAAGAAGATGATGCTGCCCATCCAAACATGTATAGGCTTGAGGAGCTTGCGGAACGCTAGTGGAGACCATGGGAGTAGAAAGGCGGCTAGACCCAGCACCCACTGAGAAGAGACAATGTGCAAAGAGAATCACATCATACTGTTTACAGCAATCCATGGACTACAAATGATAAAGTGGTAAGAAGTGTAACACATGGTATTTTAATTTAATATGCACTGAGAATTCAATGAAGGAAACCAAATCTTTCTATAGTCATAAGAAACATTATGGACCACTACAGAGCAGTATACTCAAAGCCTGGATTTTTAACAGTATTACTGATTAGCTTTTAAGCTAATGTAGTACAAAAGCAGAAATCTTATACTGCAGATGTACCTGAGCAGTGAAGAGGGCTGTGGTACAGATGCCCAGCCAACTGTGCAGTGAGTATAGGTTGGGGGTGGAGCCTGCATTGTGGTAGTCAAAGACTGCACAAAGACCCAGGACAGACAGGACAAAGGCAAGGAACAGCAAGCCGGCATGCAGGAGTTTCCAAGGCTGTTTGCTTTGCCTCCAGGTCAGTGGGACACGATATACAACTGCGGCTAAAACGTGGCCAAAGAAAAAATAAATATTCATAAATCCATAATGTATATACCCCGATGAGGCAAAACATTGTGACCACCCCCACATGACGCGACTAATGTTTACCATCTCGTAAAAACAGTACATGCCAAAGTGTGAGATATATTAGATGTTAAGTTAACATTCGGTACTTATGGTCGACGTGGTGTGCAGAGGAAATGGGCAGGGATGATGATCTGAGAGACTTTGAAAAGGACCAAATTATGGCCATGCAATTGCGTCTGAGTAACTTCGAGACGGCCAGTCCTATGGGGTACTCAAGGTGAGCCATAGCGAGTACCTACTTAGAGTGGTCTAAGGAGGTAAAATCGTGAGCCAAGCAAGTTGTGAACGAAGGCAATCACATCTGGTACAAATCACCCCGAAGGGTAACCATGGCACAAATTTTGATGAGGATCATGGGAGTAGTGTGTCATGGTGCACAGTGCATCAAGCGTAGCCAGAGCCAAGTCAGAGTGCCAAGGCTAACCGCTAAGGAGGAGAATTTTTACAAGAAATTTTACAAGACAGTCAACAGTATTCACTTCATGTGTGGGTGGTCAAATTGTTTTCGCTCATCGGTGTAAATATACCATAAACACAATGTATCAATTAAATTAGATGATAGATAGATAGATTCAGATATATCAAAGGAATGAACTACAAAGCATCTAGGATTTAAAGAAAAAGAACAAAAAAAATGTCTCACATCTGTTCGGAAACGGTTTCAGAAATAAAGTAGGGAAGTGAAAACAATACAAGACCTCATGTGCTTCTTCGGTCATCTTCTACCCACAGTGATACTGTCAGAGTGCATGGAAAGCACCATGTTCCACACTCACTGTGACAAGCGTGGATAGTTCCATTACTTACCATTCCCGTACAACACCACGAGGCCGGTCACCATCAGAACCGGATGCCAGTTGAACTGCAGTCCTGAGCCGTCCCAGGCAAATCCCCCACGCCATTTGTAGTTCCAGTAAGACACAAACACCACAGAGAGAATTCCAAGGCACAGGCAAAGCAGGTAGCTGAGATAGAACAGCAGAGATCTCATCCTGGCCCTAGGGAAATGTTTCATAAAACATCATATTGGAAAATGCGAGAGAGAAGTGACAAAACATGGATGATCAAAAATAAGTCCATCACCATCATTCAGGGAGATTTCAAATAAATAATTCAAAATTTTCTACCAGGCACCAAACTTTAGACATCCTGCATGAATATTCTTCAGCAATCCCTAGTGAATACTACAGATTGATCAAGTGTTTCTAAAACTTCTCCAACTACTACAAACATACATCAAATCAAACACATGGACTGTTGGACACACACTGAAAGGTGAAGAGTTTTTTTTTTTTTGGGATTATAGTTGGTAGCAGCAATTTTGTGATCTTTTCACAGTTTTTTTTTTTCTCCATCACAATTCCGACCACTTCATGTTGAGTATATTTTTTCAATACGTAGTCCTTTCTAAGAAGTTACAGTATACTGGTCATCGGTAGCTATATATATATATATCTTTGTAGAAGCTCATTTATTACACAGCTCATTTGAAACATTGCCCAAAAATGTGTAATTTTGTGTGATATCAGAGTATGAAATGATACAAATGTCATGTAATCATAGAAAATGAGACTGGATTGGGGAAAAACCTGAAACAAACAGTACTCACTCAGTAACTTATATTCCAATGTCACAACGTCTTTAGAGAGCTGCCCTTAGTACTGAAAAGCTTCACCAGTATCAATAACCCCTTCTCCTTTCAGTGCCTGCACTGGTTTCTGTAATCAGTTCCCATCTCTTTTAACCTGTTTCTTTCACTTCTTCATTTCCTTACTGGTGCACAGAGGAAGTCAGGTGACTACAGGGGGTGCCGCCTCAAACTCATTGCGAGTGCTGAGATTTATTGTCTTGAAATTCTAGAAGTACCATTTCAGAATTGCATGTTAACACTGCAGTCACCACAACACAAACAGTAAAAATATGGCTGCTTGATAGATTACCCAGAAGTTGCCTGAATTATGAAGAATTCCAAATGTATGATAAGATGAAACGACATTTTATCACTGTGTAAAATAATGAACAGCACATATTAAGCACAAAACTTTATGAAACAGTTTGTAAATGACAAATGAAACATCAAACCATCTGTTCTGCACATATTTTGTGGGTTGACTTCCTGCCTTCAGCTCTGTGTACGAGTTTGCATATTCTCTTTGCATCTGTGCGAGTTTCCTCCCATAGTCCAAAAACAGGCACTTGCACAATTTGATGTTTCAGTACTACTTTACAATAAGGGCCCCCTTTGACACTTGTAAATGGCAGTAACTCATTAATAAAAAGAAAATTGTGTTATAACTTGTATATTAATAATTTATAAAGTGTTACAATCTAATTAATAACCAGATTATAAACCATGCATAAGCCCTTTATATGGGTAGACTTATTGTAAAGTGGCACTGCTGTTTCCGTATTATCCATCACGTGTGCTACAACAGACCGGAATTACATCCAAGGTGTGTTCTGTGCCACTAAGATAAGATCTCAAAACACTCTGACCTTGTACAAGAGGTCATGGAAACTAGATAAATGAATTCAAGTCATCTTTTCAAATTATGCCCTATATTTACAAAGCCTTATACTATGAAAATTTTAAACATTTAGTCAGCTTATTTATACTTTATTCACAAGATTGTTTACTCACGGTTAGATTCTGCAAGCTTTTGAGGGATGGTTAAGCTATGACAAGTAAATTCCATAAAACAAGCTGATGATTTTATGCAAAGTCATGCAGCAGGCTGTAAAAAGTACAGTTTGAGGGTTTCAGAGCAGGCTAGAGATAAAGGACATTAACCTGTAACTCAGAGGCTGGTTTGTACATTCAACCAGGTGCCCTAGTGTAGAACCATAAGGCAAGATAGCAAGTCTGCATTTATCATACAATTCAGCATTCATGAAACGGAAGCACCTGTAATTTAGGTACAATATACTTCTGTAAAAAAGAACACACTTACGATAGTCAGTTATACATTTAACATGATACAATGTTAAAATGTATCTGTTTAGTTTGCCTGAATGGCATTTCACCTTTACTGGGGCAATTTTTAGTTTGCTTTGTTCTGCTTCAGTGCAGACTGCTTTTCAGCAGTAAGACAATAGTAAATGTAGAAGGAGGGAAGTTAGATTTTTTTTCTCATCCAGTAGTAGCTTTGCTCTGCACATGGTTTCCGATTTCCCAGGAACCAGAATCTGCCAAATATAAGGTCCAAAGATGGAGAGAGAGGAAAAGCAGTTTCAAAAAATCTTTAACTATGGATAGTTTCCTGCAGCCTTGGCACAGGACTGAGCAACTCTTACTTTTCAAACCAAGGAATGAGAACCTGCACTTTCATTTCACTCTCTTTTAATCCGCTTCTTTCATTAAAAATAACCTGATTGTACTTAAAGTGTTGCCCAAAATTTGTGAAGTGTTTTGAGGGACTTTTCAAAAAATTCCTCCTTCGTCTTCCAAGATGCAGTTCAATTCAGCCATATAGCTGTTATAATAAAAAGTTACAGCTCGTAAGAAAATACTTTTTTTGCTGCCCACTATGTAGAAAAGGTGAGGTATCTCAAAGGGAAACGTGTGTGTGTGTGTGTGTGTGTATTTTAATGAAAAACATTTTTGAGCTCTAGAAAGTTTGTGTAATTCACATGCTAAATTTCAGTAAAATCAAAACTAACGATTCAACGGTCATTTGTTAAATTAAAATGGAATGACCCAGTAAGAACTTGCATCCATCATCCTCAATCACACCATGCGCCGTATCTAATCCGAAAAATGTTATTACTGGGGATCGTACAGTGTGGTTGACCGAGGGAATGTCAGTATTAAGTGCTGTTTTGGAGCAAGAAACCCTGAAATTGGATATCAGGCTTAATTTTCTATTAGAAATAGAAAGAGATAGATTTATTAAATTCTCTACCCCATGTTCTTCTCCAGGAGACATTGCAAAACGCTTTGTCTGGAAGGTCAAACAACAGCATTTGATTAATAAAAATTAATAAAAACCGTTTTGGTTCCCTCCTTTCCTAAACCCATGACATCAAGGCTTTCAGTCAGTACTGTCTAAAGTGTGACACTGCATGTTTTAAGGGAATACAATTCCAGCCAATTTTTACCAAAAGTGAGTCAATACGGAACCTTTGTGCTCACAAATTATAATCTAGAGCATTGTTCCTAACAATATGGGGATCGAAGAAAAATAGGAAATACAAGTCACTCATTATTCTGAATACTGTAGGCCCATGAAAGGCAGGGGAATTGCATCCACCAGTTACAACATGTGTATTTTAAGAGTAACTCTCCGACACAGAATAGCAGCAAAGTCCTACTGAATATATTTCAAATCCCTTTGCAACAATTTCTTTATGTAGTTGACATTTTTTTTTTTTAATGTGTAGGTATAGTCACTTTTGCCACAAAATAGGCTCTCCTGACATCAATATAACAGAAAAACTGGCCCTCATAGTATTTAACCATCAACCCGCAAAGAAGAATCGACCTTTGTGGTTAACCATATAAGATTCTACTGACTGGACCATACGAGATTCTACTGAGTGATGATTTTTTTCAAATACTACCCTCCCCTCCCCTCCCCTCCCCTCCCCTCCCCTTTTTTTGTATTGCATGATTAAATTGTAAAGATAATTATAAATTCTTGTCTTACAAATTCAATTAAGTTTTGTGGCTGGAATCTGATTAGGTACACAACAATCTGAACTTATCGCACCTGTACAGTACTTCCTCCTGAAATCAGCCAGAAAACCTGTTCTTCTGTTTTAAATACTTTTATACTTCCCTTTTCAGTTAAGAACGTAAGCTTTTTATGTGCAATTTTACTTCCATGTTTTTTTGTGTTCGTATTAATATGTATACAGCCACAACCAGGATAAATTAAATATTAACACAAACTTAAGGACTGTATGGTTTAAACAAATTAACTACAAATATTTAATAATACAACACTATACATGAATGTAATTTTACATATTTTGTGCTTTCGGCACGGGGAAGGGGGGAGGGGATAACGTCAGCGAAAAAAATTAGCTAGTTGCAAATGCTAGTCGTCCTAAAACTACAGAGTTTATCCGCCTACAGAGTTTGCCCTCCCTGACATTAATCCCCGTCGTAGACTTGATCATTCCACTAGTTCATTACCGGCTAGCAAGTAAAGAAGCTTACGGCTGCCATATCATCTAAACTACTGTAGCAAACACCGCTAACTAGACTGTGCGTCAGACGGGACAATGACAATCCCTCCTTATATCTTCAGCTTTATGCAAGTGAAATATTTCCGACGTGCGCACAAACATTAAAAGGAATAAATGTGTCCGGATGTATATTTACCTTTCGCGGAGAGCACACAGATCTGTCAGCCCACTGATCAGTAAAACGAAAGCACTCGGGTCAGCCCCGCTTCTCCATGCTCTTTATTTACAGCATGGCCAACCAACATGGCTGGTGCCGTAATCCTCAGCCGTGGCGTCTCATGCCAAAACCCTCACGGCCGTATAACATTTTCGCCTTCTGCCACTTGCTAGTGCCACTTTATGCAGTCTTCCCCATTATTTACCTTTATTGACACTTCACATATAAACATTTGCTTTTCGTACCATTATTTCATTATAAGTTCTATATTACTTCATGGTGCTTCTACGCTGGACCGTTTTGAAAGAATTTGTACTTAATTCTCTCTGCTTAAGATATTTTGCGAGTTACGTCGGTCTGTTATTCTCTGTTTATATTTAATATCCACTTTGATTTGGCTGCACGAAACTAGGAAAAAAAATCTGTACCTTTAGCATTATTTACATGCATCGTGCATTGTCATCTTGCGGACTCATAATGCGACGTTTTCTCAGAAGCAAGACAATTTCAGAATGCTTCATTTTGTAACTTTACATAATTTTGTCTTAATAATCATTTCGGAATTCACGCCAGGAGGCAGCATTGAACAACTGAGCATTCTCAAAATTCCGTTACACACAACATACCTTTTGTATGGACCAGAATATCTTCATGTGACACAAGACCTTCAAAGAGTTTCTGAAACGAAATACGTATGTACAAAGGTAACACCATGATGTGCCATAGAAATATATCTCATACTACTTAAGAATTCAGGGTTGACTGAATGATACAAAAGCCTTATCTTGGATTTCAATATTAAAAGCTTGAGAGCTTGTCTATAAAAAATAAGTGCCTTGTTTCTCCTAACTGTGTCGGCAGGAGAACTTTATAATCTATCCATTGTATTTTACGATGTGGTTGTGGTAATTAACTGTGTATCTTACTGCAGTTTTCCCAATATTTACCAGTAAAAGGATAACAAAATGGTCCCACAATCCTTTAGGAGGGGGTCCACACAGAAGACTCTTTATCAATGGCCAAAAACCACACGACTTGGAACAAACTTCAGTTCAACTGGACCGTATCTGCCAGTGCTTACACTGTAGAAAAAGAGTGGTCATTAAATACTTCTGAGGAAATCTTTGTCAGCAGAATGAGCAGCTGGTGCACAGATCCATCGATAAGAGAGATATTTTCTCTAGTTTTTTACAGAAGACAGTTTTAGCCTACAGCTGCTATTACACGTATGCTGTTCTCAAACCAAGAAGGGTAATTTCTGTTACCTTTATATTTAAATGCAAATTTTACTTATCTAAAAACTACTCTGTTGATTGTGTTTAACATGTTTAACATATTGGCTCAATAATAAATCAATAAAGCAATTTCTTTTGACCAGTTCCAAAGGAAAACATTAGTACTGCTAAAAAAAGAGAACAGCAACAAGATCCTTTATTAGGATATTGGTTCACCACAAACAGCTAGAACAATGCCTTTAATGCACCTTGGCATCAATTCTACTAGAGTTTGTAACCACACTAGTGGGAGGTCACTATGCACTCGGAATAAATTCCATAATTTGGTGGAAACCACTGTCTACACAATTGTCAGTAATTCCTCTGTTAGTAGAGATATACTGAATAGGAGAACCATGGCATATGACACTTTTTTTTCAAATCCTCAAGTTTAGGTTTAAGCCTTGTGAAAATAGGCATTGTCTGCTTTGGTGATTTACAACCATAAAGAGAGACATGCTTCACCACAGGATGATCATGACAATTTTTCTATATTTACTGGAACTCCCCATTGACCTCCAAGTGCTTCAGTGAACCAGAGCTATACAATGCATCTTAGTTAGCAGACCAATCAGCATGAGAAAATAGAAAACAGAGCTTGAGAGTAAACGTGTATCCATCCATTAGTTAGGGACAGGATGCTGAATGACATCTTCCTCCAACTGCTCTGAATTTAAAACAATATTTGCATATTAATATTTTAGCTTCTCATGCATTTATTTACAATTATAATAGTTAATTGTTATGCATAATGAAGTGTCTTTACCCTTGACACATTGAATTGTTTACAATGTTTCTCTGTGTATCCATTGCAACACTTTACTTACAATGTTATGTTTATGTAGTAATTAACCTTGACCATAATGTCCTTGGGATTACATATGGTGCGTGCTTGTGCCTTAATCAGATGATTCAATTTCTACCTTTTTTTGTCTTGCATTTCAAACTAGTGCTAAGACACCATGGTGGAATACACACCAACTGGCCCCTTCTTTAGGTACGCCTGATTGACTGCTCATTGAAGCAAATATCTGATCAGCCAATCATATGTCAAGCAGCACAGTGTATAAAATCATGCAGATATAGGTCAGGAGCTTCAGTTAATGTTCACATCAAACATCAGAATGGGGAAGAAAGGTGATTTAAGTGACTTTGAACGTGGCATGGTTGTTGGTCCCAGACAGACTGGTATGAGTATTTCAGAAATTGCTGTTCTACTGAGATTTTCATGCACATCTCTAGGGTGTACAAAAAAACCTAAAAATAAAAAACATCCTGCGAGGTTCTCTTTGTTGATGGCGTAGGTCAGAAGAATGGCCAGACTGGTTCAATTAATAGAAAGGCAATAGTATATCAAATGACCACTCATTACAAGCAAGGTATGCAGAAGAGCATCTCTGAATGTACAACACGTCAGCCTTGATGCAGTAGGGCTACATCAACAGATGACTACACTGGGTGCCACTCCTATCAGCTAAGAACCGGAAACTGAAGCCATGGGGCAGTGGTGGCTTAATGGTTAGGGGAGTGCATGTGTGATTGAAAGATTGCTGGTTTGAATCCTTGACCTGCAAGAAAGTGCTCTTAAGCACTACTGCTCAGGCGCTGAATTAGCAATCCTCTGCTGTGTGACATGCGAGTTAAATGCAGAGGACATGTTTTGTTACTGTGGTGTGTTAACAATGACAACTAATCGCTTTCTTTCTTTTCACAGACATTGGGCACAGGCTCACCAAAATTGGACAGTGGAAGATTTGGAAAACATTATCCCTGCTACGACATTCAGATGGGAGGGTCAGAATTTGGTGTAAACGGGGTAAAAACATGGATACATCCTGCCTTGTATCAACATCTTAGACTGGTGGTGGTGCTGGAATGGTGTGGGGCATATTTTTTGGCAGATTTTCAGCCCCTACTGTAAGTACCAACTGACTATTGTTTAAATACCACAGCCTGCTTGAGTATTGTTGCTTACCATATCCATCCCTTTATGAGCACAGTGTTCCCAGCTTCTAATGGCTACTTCCAGCAGGACAACATGCCACATCACAAAGCTCACATTACCATTCACACACATCAAACACCTCAGTGAGCACCTTTCACTTGAAGATCTGGGAATGATGCTTACTGAGTGTTTGGTGCTTCTGTACATGTATATATCTGTAACTATCCAGGCACAAACTTTGAAACACTGACACGAAAAAAGCACAGTAATCAAGGTGAAAACCGAAAAACTTTATCAAAAAACTTACAGACTTAAGAGAGATTTCGAATAAATAGTAACAACACAACAGTAAAAAGAAAGTAACACAGTCAAAGAAATAGCAGAATCAAAAACAAGGAAGAAGCACATAATAAAATATATTTTGAATCTGAAAGACAATTAAAATCTGAAATAAGTGAGAAATAGAATTTTAACATGAATGAATCAGCTGAAAATACATATAATGAAAAGCAAATAAATACTGATAACCAGGTGGAAACCATAAATTTAGAAGAAAAGGCAACTTCATGGAAATGTGTTAAGCAGAAGAAATAAAAAACGGTTACAAATTAAGATTTCATTGCAGTGTTAAAAATAGAAAACAAAAGCAATAAAACAAAGACAGAAATAAATAACCTGCAAAAAGTAATGATATTAAAATATGAAGCTGAAAGTGAAGCACTAAAGCAAAAACATGAGAAACAGAGCAGCTATAAGTATTATTCAGGCAGCAATAAAATATATATTTGCAAAATTAGAGAAGAAAACTAAAAAGCAATTTAAAGAATACAAAAAAAGAAACTAAAAATATCCACAAAAAAACAGAGGAGACAGTATAAATTTGCAATGCCAGCTGAATTTGAAAATTAAATAAATCATATTCAGAAAAGCCCCAAATCAGAAATGAGTTTGCAAAGAAAATGATTCAAATAAGTAAACAGTACAATGAAAAGACAATAGAAAAACAAATGACATTATATGATATAAATGAAAACACAGAGAAAAGAAAAAGGACAAAAGATTATACTGGGAAAAGAAACAACACGAACATGAATACAGGCAAACAATAACAGAAAAGGAGAGAATTAAAAAGAAAAGGCGTAAATGACAGAACCTGAAGGCAAATCTGAAAAAGATGCAGAAAGTGAGGTGACTCCACCCAAAGCAGAAAGAGAAAATCCACCTCCTGATGCTGGAAGAGGAGCAGAAATAACTGAGTTACAAAAGAGATGATTGTCGACTTCAGGAGAGCACGGAGCGATCACTGTCCACTGAACATCACTGGATCATCTGTGGAGGTCGTCAAGAGCACCAAATTCCTTGGTGTTCACCTGGCGGAGAACCTCTCCTGGTCTCTCAACACCAGCTCTTCACCCTCCTGCATTCTGGCAAGAGGTACCGGAGCGTTCGGGCCCTCACTGCCAGTCTTCTTCACAGCTTCTTCCCCCAAGCCATCAGACTTCTGAACAATCATAGACCGGACTGATACACATACACACCTTTACACAGTCCACTACCTCAATAACTTTTTGCACAACCTATTGCACTGTTGCACTTTACACTTAGCCTGTCTTACTCATAAGACATGTCTTACTGTCATCTCCTCTATTTATTCTATTGCACTGTCTTGTGTCGCACTGTTTTTGCAATGTTTGCACTTCTTGTACACTTGCACTTTATGTAGTCCTGTGTCGATGTAGTGTTATATGTAGCACCATGGTCCTGGAGGAACGCTGTCTCATTTCACTATGTACTGTATCACTGGTACATGGTTGAAATGACAATAAAAAGCCACTTGACTTGACTTGAGTGAAGAAAATGCTATGGGAAGCTGAAGAGAAACCCCAAGATGAAACAGCATCATCTGGTGGTGAAACTGAGGATGTAGCTATACAAACCAAAATGGAACCTGAAATGCTGAAATGAAGTGCTGAAGTGAGACTACTCCGACCCGATGGTGAAACATCAAAGCCAGCTCCTGGAGGTGAACCAGAAAAAGATGTTGAGTGAGACTACTCCGACCCGAAGCAGACTGCAAAAATCCACCTGTTGAAGGTAAAAGAGGAGGAACAGAATGAGCAGCGTGAAGAGAATGCCACATCTATCAAAGCAGAAGCTGAAGAAAAACTCCAGAATGAAATAACATTGCCTTCTAGGGAAAGTGAGGGTGATGTGAAACTGAACCAAAACATCTCACCCTGGATCTCCCATCTCCTTCCAAGTCTTTTGATGAGGAAGAAAAGATGAAGCATTTTTATTTCATTGATGGTAAGATGAAAAGAGCTGATGAGATACTACCCTCGATGAAGTCTCCAAAACATCAAACTAATAATGTTATAAATAAAGGTAACAGTAATGATATAGAACACGAAAATAGTCATTTTCAGTACATTGATGTTTAGATGAAAAAGTAGGAAATTCAGAACCAGAAAATCCAGCTTTTGTCTGGGCGAAGTCTATAGAACTGCATAATAAAACAGAAATGATTGCATTACTTATTGTTTTGAGCACTACAAGAAAACACTAAATCTCTTTTCAAACTATTGTGTAGCTCCTAGTTATAACTTTAATGGTATGGAACTGAAACTAGAAGCTGTAAACTGGATGGAGTTAAATAACAAACCTGTTGACGAGGCATGGGAATTTTTTAAAAGCACACTATTGCAAGTGCAAGAGGAATGTTTCTAGCAAAACTAAATCTTGGAAACTGCAACCAAGTTGGTTTATTACTGAAATTAAGAATAAAGTCAGGAGGAAAAGGGCTCTGTTCCACAAATGGAAAATAACTAATGGTATCGGAATAAAGTAGGAGTATCTAAGTCTACAGGTTGAGTTAAAAAGTAATGTTAAAAGTAACGTTGAAAGTAAGGTTGCATTAGAGGCTAAGGACAACATGAAAAGTTTCTCCAAACTCCAAAAGAGCCCTAAAAGCTGAAATCACCAATCTGCAGGATAGTAAGGGTCTTATAATTGAAAATGAAATTTAAATACTGTAATTAATGAGCTTAATGATTGTTTTGCATTGGTATTCATTGTAGAGGACACAAGTAACATATGAACTCTTATTCCTAATCCAGCTTCATCTATGACTAATATCTGTATAACTGAAGCGGATGTGCTACAAAGCCTAGCTAAGCTGAAAATAAATAAATCACTGGGCCCTGATGGCATATTACCTATGGTTTTAAAAGAGATGAGGGATGTTATTTGTCGACTTTACTATTTCAGAAATCCTTATCTGCTGGTGTGGAACCTTCGGATTGAAAGAATGCTAATGTAACGGCCATATTGGAAAAAAAGGGACAGAAGTGGGGGGCAGAAGTGGGGGCAGTCCGGTGGCGCTGTGGTTAGCGCTGCTGCCTCACAGCAAGAAGGTCCTGGGTTCTGTCCCTGGGTGTTTTCTGTGTGGAGCTTACACACTCTCCCTGTGTTCACAGGGGGCTCTGGTTTCCTCCCACAGTCCAAACGTGTGCAGGATAGGTTGATTGGTGAGTCTAAATTGTGTGTGTGCACCCTGCAGTGTGTTGGTGACTGCCCAGGGTTGGTTCCTCCCTGCACCCATTGCTCCCAAGATAGACTCCAGTCCCCCCCCCCCTCCCCCCCTTAACCGCAGTTGGGATTAAGCAGTTTCAGAATATGGATGGATATTATAGAAGTAATCCAGCAAACTATAGGCCAATCAGTTTAACTTGCATAACTGGATAAGTAATGGAAGCTATAATCCAAGTTAAAATGGTTGATCACCTGGATTCAAATAACATCCTGAGGGATAGCCAACATGGATTTAGGAGAGGTAGATCCTGTTTAACTAATCTACTTGGATTTCCAGAAGGCTTTTGATGTTGTCCCCCAGAAACAGCTCCTGCTTAAGCTGTAAGCAGCAGGGATTTTAGGAAATGTAGCAGCTTGGATTGAAAACTGGTTAACAGACAGGAAGCAGTGGGTAGTTATTAGAGGCACAATGTCACAGTGGGCTTGCATTCATAATGGGGTACTGCAGGGTTCAGTTTTAGGGCCACTGTTATTCCTAATTTACATTAATGATCTCGGCACCAATATACACAGTAAACTGGTTAAATCTGGTGGGTGGTGTGGCAGATACTGAACTAGTGGCACAGATGCTTGTCACGATCGGGCACCAGCAAACCGGCAAGCAGGGGAGAGGAGCCAGGAAGTCGGGTAAAAACGGGGATTTATTAAAGTTAAACAGGACCGAGGAAGCACGACAGCGAACATCAATGACAAGTCTGGGGAAGACTGACTCAGATGAGGACTAAATACAAAAGACAAGCTAAGGGTAACGAGCAACAGGTGAGAACAATCAGGCAGAAACAGGAGGTAACGAGGTGGGCGTGGCACACAGGATCGGACGGAGCTGGGCGTGACAATGCTACAGCGAGATCTTGATTTAATTAGCGACTGGGCTGAAACCTGGCATATGAAATTTAATGTAGATAAATGTAAGGTAATCCATGCGGAAATATAAAGTACAGATATTTTATGGGTTCCACTGAAATAAAGGTAGCTGATTATGAGAAAGACATTGGTGTGTATGTTGATGCTTCCATGTCCCACTCTCACCAGTGTGAGGAAGCAATTAAAAAAGGCAATAGGATGTTGGATTACATCTCTAGGTGTGTGGAGTTTAAGTCAAGGGAGGTGATGCTAAGATTATACAATTTCTTGGTAATCTTGGCAGGTTTGGTCACTTTACCTTAAAAAGGACATTGCTGCCTTAGAAAGGCTTCAACGCAGGCCTGCAAGAATGATTCGTGGTCTTAGAGGAATGTCAAAGTTTCACAACAGCTGTGTCTGAATTTAGGGGCTGCATCCTTAAGGTTGCATTCGAAGACTGTATGCATGACAGTGGTGCAACAAGGTTGCCCCATTTCTAAGGGTGTTTCTCAATATGCATGCTTGAGCGTACTTGTATTCTCGTGTACCTGTTTTACATCATCTTCCATTGCTGAAGACTAGTTCCAATACTCAAGAACACAAGTACAGAGGATGGAAAAAATCCTCTGATGTCATTCTTACTAGCAAAGACATCAGACATCATACCGAGCAAAAACTAAATACAAACAAAAGAACCTTATACCGCCTGTAAAATATGGTGTTGGAAGCATGGTGGTTTGAGGCTGCTTTGCTGCCTAAGGGTCTAGCTAACTTGCTATTACAGAATCATCCAAGAATTCCACATTGGACAAGAGAATACTTTGGGAGAATGTGAGGCTATTTGTCAAAAAAGCAGAGGCTAATCCATAAATGGATTTTACAACATGCCAATGGCTCTAAACACTCAAGCAAATCTCCGAAGATTTACTCAAAAGGAGAGTGTGGAGTAACAGCTGTTATATTTATTACACACACACAAACACATACGAAACAGCAGCCATTGTATTTGATACAGCTTGTCCATATATTACTTCTGCAGATGACTTCAATATGTACTCAAATACCAATTTACAAATGCCTTTACAAATGCAATTTAATTCTGCTAGAAATATATACAATAACTAAATGACACCATAAATATAAAATACATTTTACAAAGAAATAAAAAAATAGTAGATCTCTGATCAAATAAAACAAAACTCTTCACATGGACGAACTGTATTACAAAAATGAAAAGTAAAATCTACTTTCATGTTTGTTTTAAATATTGATATACATCACTGGTGTCCAACCTTTATTTAGAGTGAGAGACACTTTTACAAAGAAAATACTCTGGTAAGCTACTGAATTGCGACTGAGGGGGGGGGTGCCCCTCCAATATGTTTTGCCAATAGACTGAAAATGTCTTTGCGATCGACTGGTTGGTGACCACTGATATACATCTTTATAGAGGCAACTTTCAAAAACACAAAACCTTAATTTGTTATGATTTAATACATTGGTTCATTATACATGAAGTTCATGAAGCATGGAATGCACTGGGTGGAGCTGTTCAACATATTCATGAAATATATCAGTATGGAATGAATCTAAGAGAGAAAATAACCTATACCAGGTTATTGGATGATAAACAATCATGAGAAATGCAATGGCAAGTATTTTCCAAGGTAAAACACAGACTGGCATAAATAAATCCATTAAAAAATTCAGAAGTTTGAGTTTATATAAATTTAATTTACCATAACAAAATACATTCCTGTGGATTTTATTTTTTAGTGCATTCTTAGTATAAACACATACAGCTGTTCAAAAATAAATCAATCTTTCATACTGAATATCCAATACAGGTTGACAAAAGGAAATATTTAACAAAAATACTTTGTAAACACCTAGAAGTAAATCAAGTATACTCAGGACGAATAGCAGTGAGTGCATAATGTTGTCATCACACAATATGCTGCAATAATTAAAGTTCATGTGCTCTTTATGGTGTCATAAAGGTCAGAAACATCAATAGCAAACAAATCAATCGTCTTCATACATAAAATCCCCATTCTTAATGGCTTTATCAGTGATATTTTCAGCAGTGAGTTTTTGATCCAAACTGAGTAATACTTCAAGAAGGTGATTGATATCTGCTTTCAGACCCTCTTTTTCCATCCATATTCGAAGCAGATCATACACTCTGTCTGCATGAGGTAAGTGATCCACACTTTGGATCTTATTATCACTTAACCCAATTCTTCTGAAGAACCTCTTATGATAGCTACTATCCAGTTCTCCAAAAAGGTCAAGACATCTCTTCAGTGATTCTTGCTCTAAAATAAAAAAAAGTTATAAATTATACAATATATCACCTCAATATATATAAATTACCCCAAGTACATTATAGTGGTAAATGTACTCTACTATGACTGCGAACTACCAATGAGTATTGATGATTATTATTATTGTCATTATTATTATTATTATTATTATTATTATTATTAATGAATCTTTTTCCTGGATTCTTACCATCTAATGGAGTAAGCCGTCTGTACTGGACACCTCCCTGAAAATATACAGATGATGTCTTACCACTTTATTTGAGGTGGCACAAATAATTTTGTAGTACACTCTTACTTAATTTGCTAATTAACCAATTAACCAGAAACTGTGGTAGTTGCATATTGATCCCATATTCGTTCATCATTAATCAATCATAACGGTTCATGTATTTTATGCAGTTATGATACTTGTTCATGATTTTTACTTGGGTAGCTTGGTAGCTAAGTTACTTGTGCCCCTTGAAGTGTTACCGATGATATTATACATTACATGCTGGTTTTTTTCTTTATCATGCAATGCAAATGGAAGTCCACCAGATTATTACTGTGATTTGGAAGTATAGTACATGTCTGTTGACTGAAGTTACTGCATACTAAGGCAGGAGGGTGATGAGAACCATGTAAGATGGAATGAATGGATGAAGAAACTTTAACTGGGAAGAGCAGTGGAGATGATATTGAAAGCGTGATAAAGAGAAAAATATTGAAAATTGTAATGAATAAATATGCTCATCCTCAGACTTCACCCAGCCCAAAGACATCTTTTTTTAATCTGAACTTTATATTCAATTTAACTTTTGGGGAAAAAAATGCTAATTTGATCATATAAGCATTTTAAAACATACAAATTGAACAGAGAGCATTATGGGTACAGACTGTTCAGCAAAGACCCGCCCCTTATATTAGCCCTCCTTAGACAAGCATCCTATAAGTACCTGCAACGGGTCTGGCTGGAATGGATCCATCTCATCTGCACCCTGGAAGATATATATTCAAATCAACTATAAATACCTCAATTGCTTAAATACCATTTACATTAAATGCAGATGTACTTGTCATCCTCTGTAATATCATAACTGAATATATTATATGACAAGTATGACCTCTGACTTGGATGGTCTTATAATGCATTTTGAGATGGATCATGTATTTACATTTAGATCCTTAGCCGATGTTCTACATTTTTATATGAAGGGCATTGGAGAGGGGGAAAAATATTCCATATCCTCAAAAAATATTTTTCATGCAGTAAAAAATGCACAAGTCTTCTATTCAAAAGTACTGTATTTTGATTTGTTCAGAGTACAAAGGTGCCTTGTGATTTCCAATGTTTCACCATGCGACTTCTAACATCTTCATAAAAAAGGACAAAATTCCTTCTGGTTATAACTCACCATGTTGGACTTGAAAATCTCACTCGTTTTGCATGAAATCTCTGTAATATAAAGGACAGGAACTACTGTCAGATTCTAATAACTGTCAGAGAAACTTGTAATTATAACCAACATTCAACTGTTTTAATTTACATTGCCCTGCAGAATCATTAGCACTCTTGGTAACAATAAGGTGAAAAGGTTAAGACAAATGTTATTGGTCAATGACCCCAACTTTTAATTGAATTTAACTTCTTGTAAAAAAAAGAAAAAAAAAAGAACCATTATCATTTTTATCATTTTTTAAAATAAAACCACATATACCACTGCTTTATTGGCACATGTGCTATTAATTATTGACGACCCCTAGAAATTTTTATGAGCAAAATGTTATTAAAGAACGTTCCCACTTGTTTTACTTTACTAAGTTCACCTGAGTGTTTCGGAACTCTTAGGTGACCATCCATAGCTTCCCGTTTCATTCATCTCATAAGTATGAGATGTCAAAGAGGCCCAATTTTATTTGTCATTCATCACTATGAGAAAGTAGAGAAAATACAATTGAAATGAGACAAGTGTGCTCGCCTTCAAAAAAAAATCAGGCAATGGCTATAAAAAATAGCTACATATCCGAAAAAAAATTAACCTAATAATGGATTTAGGTTAAGTATAAAACAAACAGAATGTTAATGATCTGATCAGGAAGAAGACCAGTGTATTTGGCTGACATGCACATTGAAGAGGATGGTTAGAGTGGCGAAACATTTGGTTGGTGGGTTTGGTGTTTAAAAAAAAAAAAAAAAGGATGGTTATTCAGATTACAACCTGGACCTGAATATACTGGTGAAGCTGTTATGTTGTGGGTTTTTTTTCTCTCCAAAGGCTCTGGGAACCTTGGTAGGATACATGGTATCATGGACAGGTACCAAAAGATTCTAAATCAAAATCTGGCTGCCTCTATCAAGAAGATGCATCTTGGACATGATTAGAGATTCCAGTGTGCCAATGATCCAAAACACATCCAAGTCCACATAAAAACTGTGTGTATATCCCAGACCCCTGACCTACGGGTGGCTGCCCTTCGCGGACAGCTTGCTCTACAAAGAGCAAGTTGAGGGAGGCGTAAAAACAATTTCCCCACGGGGATCAATAAAGTACCAATTATTATTATTATTATTATTATTATTATTATTATTAAACCCCACTGAATACCTGTGGAGTGTGCAAAAGTTAGGACCTATGACCCTGAAATATCTGGTGTGATTCTGTATTGAGGAATGGTCTCACTTTCCTTTCTCTTTACTCTCCAATTTTATTAAGCATTATGGGAGGGGAATCAGTGTTTGCAATGGTAGGTCAATCAAAGTACTAAATGCAGGGGTGCCAATAACTGTAGCACATGTGCCTTTGTAACAGACAAAAACAAACAAACGAATAAACAAACTTACTTAATTTAAGGTTCAATTTCTCTAAATTTTTCAATTTTTCATAACTTTTCCTTTTTATTGCCAATAATTCTGGAGAGCAGTATATTTATATTTATTTTGAACAACTCATCATAATTTACACTTCTCAATAAAAACAACAAAAATGAAACATACGTGTTTTTTAGTTATACAATGGTAAGATTTAAGGACAACATTTATGTCCCTTGGGGAATGCATACTGCAAACCAAAGAACATGGTAGTTCGCTGGAAATACATGGATACTGAAACAGTTCCACAGATGATTATTTCCACTTGTACTACAAAACTGCTGAATTCTCAAATCTGAAGGGTGTTGATTAATTTTCATTAACCACACAAGATGTGCTGGCCAGACGAGTCACAGTAGTAACTCGAAGTGTGATTATAATCTTTAATTCTAACTAAATTTACTTAATGGAAACTAGAAAACCAAAGAAATTGCTAATAATCACTTAGAAAGCAGCATTGTTTCAGTATGATTTACTGATGCCATGCACTTGTAGTCCAATTAAACTTTACAGTCCTGCCTAAACAAGATGTTACACAAGTCTGGTTTTACTAATTAGTTAGCACTAAATAAATCAGGTTTTATCCATTATACAGCTGAATGTCAGGAGGTACATAAAGCTATATTAATAAGACAATGTCTGAATATATACAGCCACGGAAAAAATTAAGAGACCACAGCACAATAATTTTTCTCTCATTTCACAATTTATGGTTGTGCATCTGTGAATTATGTTTTTTTTGCAAACTGCAGCCTGGTTCTTCCCTCATTGATAAAGGGCTACATCTTTACTTTATGGACCTGCAGTCCTGCTTCTAGGAGCCTGATACACACTGTCTTAGCAGTGCACTTCACACCTGCACTTAATGTTTCCCATTTCTTTTTAAAGGTCACTCGATGACATCCTTTGATTCATGAGAACCTGTTGGATAAGCTAACGGTCATCTCTGGCATTAGAAAGTCACTTCTGCCCTTCAGCTGTCTGGCTTCTGGCTGTTCCCAGTGTCTCCTGCTTCACCTTATTTTTGTGTACTGCTGTCTTAGAAATTTTGAACCTGGAAGCATCTTGATGCTCAGCGTAGCCTTCTACCAGCAAAACCAGAATTAAACTGGGATTTAAGAATGCACATTTATTTAAAAATAGAGTGGGCTCATTTTTTCCAGTGGCTGTGTATATATTATATATATTTACACGTCTTTCCCTCCACTGGCATGCATGTAACACTGTATAATGCACTGTTTGTAGTACATTAACCCAGCTTATATCATGTTTACTACACATTTGGCTTACAAGATTGTCCAAATACCATTTCCAGAAATGTTGGGATATTTTCTAAAATGCAATAAAAACAAAAATCTGTGATATGTAAATTTACGTGAACCTTTATTTGACTGACAACAGTTGTACTGACTAACAGTTGTATTTTGGAAATATACACAAAGCTATAATTTGATGGCTGCAACACTATGAACAAAAGTAATAAATAAAACAAAATAAAATAAAATATTTAAAATAAGAAAAGTGCACAGAATATTCCAGTAACACCGGTTTAGATTACTCCACATTAAGCAGACTAACTGGTCGCAGGTGAGGTGTCATAATTAGGTATATAAATAGCATCCAACAAAGGCTCAGTCTTTGCAAGCAAGGATGGGTCATGGTTCACCCTTTTGTGCCAAAATGTGAGAGAATTGCTAGTCAGTTCAACACCCTCAACACAAGATTACAGAGAATTAGGTCTTGCAAAATGTACAGTACATAGTATTGTGAAAAGATTCAGAGAATGTAGAGAGATCTCAGTGCGTCAAAGGCAAGGTTGGAAACCACTGTTGAATGCGCGTGATCTTCTAGTCCTCAGGCAGCACTGCCTAAGAAACCGTCAAGCTACTGTGACAATTATAGCCACCTGGGCTTGGAAGTACTTCGGAAAACCATTGTCACTTAACACAGTCCGTCGCTATATCCAGAAACTTGAAACTGTACTGCACAAACAGAAAGCTATACATCAACTCAATGCAGAAACGCCAGAGAGTTCTCTGGGTGCGAGCTCATCTCAGATGGACCAAAAGACTGTCACACTCTGTGCCAAAGATGAAGCCGACCATCCAGATTGCCATCAGCGAAAGGCGCAAAAGCCAACATTTGTGATGGTATGGGGGTGCATCAGTGCCCACGGCATGGATGAGTTGCATGGATGTGAAGGTACAATTGACTCAGAGGCGTATATTAGGATTTTAGAGAGACATATGTTGCTATCAAGGCAACGTCTCTTCCTGGAATGTCCATACTTATTTCAGTAGGACAATGCCAGACCACATTCTGCACGGGCAGAGTGCATATGCGTGACTGGCCTGCTGTCCAGATTGAGCTCCTATTTAAAATGTATGGCACATCATGAAGAGGAGAATCGGACAATGCCGACCATGGACTGTTGATCAGCTCGAGTCTTACATCATGCAAGAATGGACAAGATTTCCAATTGCAAAATTACTACAGTTAGTATCCTCAGTTCCAAAATCATTAAAAAAATATTATTTTTAATGGTGATGTAACTTGTTGCAGTCATCAAATTCTAACTTTGCATATATTTCCGAAATACAATTAAGTTGGTCAGTGAAACTTTTGTCAGTTACGTAAAGATTCACATGAATTAATGAATCAAAGATTTTTATTTTTATTGCATTTTAGAAAATATCCCAACTTTTCTGGAAATGGGGTTTGAGCATAAACACTAACCTTTGTAGTAGGCAATTTTGAACTAATGACTGGCTAATGACTCTTGGTCTCAGCAATGGACAATTTCCTATTTAACGATGGTGGCTTGGATCATATAAGGAAAATGTTTAATATTCCATACCGTCCAGACACTACACCGCAGTATAAGGTTCTTCGACTGTATTTTAAAAGTCAATGCTATTTCAGCACTTTGATAAGCCATGTTGCCATTATACCGAAACAGACTTGTACTCTATTTATAAATGCATTTTAAATTCATAATAGAGTTGTCAGGATTACTCAATTATTTAAAAGCATTAATTAAAATTTTCCTTCTCGATAACTCGCCAATATGGCGGAAGGAAGATGGAGCATAGCAGATGAGGGTCCAAATCGAGAGAAAACGCTGTGTGGAGGCATGTCACATTAAGACGAATGAAAACGGAGCGGAATGTCAGCACTGTGCAAAGCAGAACTTAAATATTACCGTAGCACAACTGCAATGCAAATGCATCTTAAAAGAAGACATTGTGGTTTGACAGACTGACCCAATAATGCGAGGTTAGCCATAGACATGAGCCATTTAGCCTCTCGGAGTGGCTTAACCTGTGTGTCACCACTTGACTTAAAATATTTCGCATAATTTACTTTATATGATTCTTGCTTGTCAAAATAATCTCTGCTAAAACAAAGTCTAGCTCCGTCACTTAGCCACATCATCTTACATAATACAATACATAATAACCATATAATATTAATCATTTGTGAACATAGTGCGTTTTGGCCTGACTGATATTGGAAAAAGTTCACATTGTGATATTTGAAGTTTCTGAGGTATTTAGTAATTGAAAATGAACTATTTAGACACTTATACAAGTAACTTATTACGTACCAGTAGAGTCTGTCAAATAAGTTGATGGAATTACCATGAGTTGTGCCAACAGACACAAAGCAGTGCTGAAAAATCACTTGGTTTTGCTCAATATTGTCTCTGTGGGATACAAAATATTTCCGTACAGCAGAAGAAGAATGCCTTTTCATGACCAGGTCTTGTTTGCCTTTCTCCTCTTCATTCATTTTTTGTTTAATTTCTCACAAACGCGGCACACGGTCAATCATTGAGTCCAACAGCAAAGATGAGAATGATTATAATTCTCATGGGGAGAGCATGCAGAGCTCATGGAAAAGCGGCAGCGATAAACTTCAGACTGATCATTTTTTTAACACATACTAGATAATGTTGAAAAGGAACCATCATTAAAATTGCTAAGCTTGCTAAGTTCCGTTTCCTATGACAGAGTAAAAATGTTTAAGCCAACTTATTGCCGGTTTGAACTCAGCAGACTATTGTGTGGTCCTTGCAATGTGACAACGGCAAGTGGCACAGTGGATAGTGCTGTCACCGCACACAGCAGCTATATTATATTATATATATAAACGATTACTCAATGAATTGTCAGATTAATTAGTAGATTATTCATTTATTGATATAAATCGATAGTGACAGCCCTAATTTGAAAAAGTGAAAATAAGTACCAACAAATAAGCCAAATGTGTGTTAACTGTGGTATAAGTGAGTTAATGCCCTCTGCAGTCATGCCTCTAAAAATGCATAATGCGCAGCTTGTCCTGCATTAACCTTCACATAGAGTTCACTTTAACTCACCGGTTTCTTTGTTGAAAACTCCCTTTCTCCAGCAGATGAAACAGATGACCAGGGTGACAAAGATACATAATACTATGACAGAAGCAATCACCCCTATTAAACAGAGGGGAGAAAAAAAATCAACCATTGTTTTCCATCCAGTTTCAGAAAGCACAAGACATAAATAAAAGCTGACAAAATGCTTCAGAATTTCAATGCAAAGTATGGAAGGCTACACTGTAATCTAAAATGTCTTATAATGCAGATACAGTGTCTTTTGTACCTGGATGAGATCTACCTGAGACAGTGAATGAAGAGGACTTCATTTTGCAGACAGTATTGGAGATGGAGGTGCAGTTTTTCACTTCCTCTTCATCCAGTTTGCATCTGAAACAGTACATAAAAAGGTTAATATTAGATGAAATTTAGAAGTTACCAAACCAAAGTGTCAAGTAAACCCCACCACTTAAAAAAATATATTATTACTGATGATGGTACTCAATCTTTTTCAACCAATCATCATCTAGAACGTAATAGTAGCTATAGACAGACTTGAAATCTTAAGGTCAATGCTACCGACCCAAGGTGGATTCCTGCTATACTTCCCTTCATCAAGGGACTTAGTCTGAACTGCTCAAGTAAAATAGCTAAAAACAATTTTCTACGAATAAAAGCAACAACTACAGGCCAATGAATTTATGCAGAGAGCCAATCTGTCAAGACTGCTAAAATGGTATTGTTTTTCCTGACATGGTTAAAGTAAGTTATGTGAACATCTAAAATGTATTTCATAAACACACAACTTGTTAACAGACTATGAATGGCCACTTGACAAGCTGCACCTCTACAGGAACCCCCTCCGTTTCCACGGGGTGATACGTTCTAAGTTCTAAGACCACTGGGGACTGAACCTGTGGATAATGGAACCCCATCCCTGGAACCCATATATAATGACATTTTCCTGTACATACATATCAAGTTTATTTGATAAATTACGCACAGAAAGTCATTATTAAACATTAAATACCTTGATAATAAAGTAAATTGTATAATATTATACAGCATATTACTCGAACAAAAGGAATTCTGTTTTAGCCTAATTCTCAAGGGATGATAGAGCAATGAAAAAATATAGTGTATCAAATGATGATGGAGAAGGAAAATTATGCTTTTTGTACATTTTTCAATCACAGACACTGTGATAATGTGGCAATGAATGTAATCATGAGAACACTGGAGGCAGATGGATGAGAGTTCTGCAGGGAACCATGAATATGGTGAGAAAGGGAGATGAGTCACATGTACTGGGCGCAACTGGGCTGGCAGATATCACCAAGTTACTGCCTGTACTCACTTGGCTCACAGTTGGAAATTTACGAACTGCTAATTCTGGAATTTTCAGATTTTCTTTTTCTGACCACCGTAAACCACATATAACTAAAACCACAGTAGTTGAAGCCACAGATACAGCAGTCCCACTGCCATTACTCACTATGTCTTTTGCCTTATGAACAAATATAAATAAAGGAATAGGAACGAATAGGAATAAAGTAATGGAATCTAATTGTGAAAACTAGGGGTGGGCGATATAACCAAAATCTTCTATCACGGTAGAAGCAATTTTCTACCTCGATAACGATATATATCACAATATAGCAATTTGTATCTGGAAATGCATAAATAAAAATTCAAACACAAAGAAACTGTTTTATATAATGTAATTTTATTTAAAATTGCAGCATTACTTTAAGTAAAAAAAACAACCATACTGTTTACTGCAATGTATTGTACTGCATTTTTTGACATATTCGTTTGGATGCTTGGATTTGAGATGATAGAAAAGGTTTGACGTGTTTCCACCGCTTGCTAAAACAGTGCTCTTGCATACCTTGCAAATCACGTTCGCCTCATTCGTATTCACTTTTCCTATACTCAAACCAATTCCACACCACAGACGATGCACCTTTTTTCTTTACAATCTCCTCCTTGTTGGTTTCGTCACATGTAAGCAAACTCACCGCTGCACCGTCTTCTTCCATTGTCGAAGTGAATGTGTATTGCGTGGTTACCTAACGTGCAACGTCACGTGATCTCAATCGCGATTAAGACGATAGACCAAAATCTCGGTTGACAAATTTCTACCGGTTAGTCGAGTCTACCGGTATATCGCCCACCCCTAGTGAAAACCATACTGCTTATTTCCCATTGTTGGGGAAAATCAATTGCAGATGACCTGCAGCCTGAATAGCTTGTTACATCTCATCACACAAATACTCAATTGAATTAAGACCTAGTGACAAGAAAGGAAAATATCAGGAATCATTGCTGGACAATCTTAGCTTTGTGCTCTGCCAAAATAACCCGCTTGCAGACAGAACTGCTGCTTCCACAATGGGACGCTTAGAAACAAATATCCTGTTGCATTTGTCCATCCATTTCCTATGACCACTTATCCAATGCAAAGTCATTGTGAGCCTGAAGCCTGCCCCAACAGCACAGGGCACAAGGTACACACACACCATACAAACTACGCACTATGGGAATGGGCATGTTCATCTTGCTATCCAACAACATATCACAAATTTTTTGGAGAACAGAAGAAATTTTGATTTATTTTTATTGTGTTACTATATATTCTAATAATAAATCATGTTTTTTTTCCCCTGAGAAAATATACACTTACTACCCAGATATCTATCCTTAAAGATTCTGCCTAAGGCTTTTCCACAGTACTGCATCTGTGTCAACAATCTAACCTATAACCAGAGTGCTAGCCCCTGAGTCATATAATGAGTCATCAATGTGTGCAATAACGAAAACCCAGAGCACCAGACTGTCATTCACAGGAAATTCGTAATCACATACCTAAATGGTTCACACACTACCAGTCAAAACATAAGAAATTTACAAAATGAGAGGAGGCCATTCAGCCCATCAAGCTTGTTTAGGGAGAACTTAACTAATAGCTCAGAGTTGTTAAAATCTTATCTAGCTCTGATTTAAAGGAACCCAGGGTTTTAGCTTCTGCTGCACTAGCAAGAAGACTATTCCATACTCTAACTACATGCTGTGTAAAGAAGTGCTTCCTCAAATCCATTTTAAAATGTTATCCCGCTAATTTCCACTTATGGTCACAAGTTTTAGTATTTAAACTAATACTGAAATATACATTTGGCTGAACAGCATCCAGACCCGTTAGAATCTTATATACCTGGATCATGTCCCCCCTTAGTCTCCTTTGCTCGAGGGTAAACAGATTCGGCTCAGCTAACCTCTCCTCATAAGACATTCCTCTAAGACCAGGAATCATTCTCGTAGCCCTCCGTTGCACCTTTTCTAGGGCAGCAATGTCCTTCTTAAGGTATGGAGACCAAACCTGCAAACAATATTCTAGGTGTTTTTCCACACCACAGGTTTTTGCCTCTTTTCCAATTGTTTCATAAACTTCAGATTTTTAAAATTTTTGTTAAGCATTGCAAAGTTGAGTGAACAAATGTAAATGAAAATATGAGTCAAATAAAACAAATTTTTATAGCATGGAAAAAGTATGTAACAGTGCATGTCTGACATCCTATTAACTGGTCATGCGGTGATGACAGAGTCAGATTCTAGGCTGATCTTCAACTTTAAATGCACTAGTTAACCGTTTCATCCCATGAAACTGATGGTATTTAATGTCCCTTGTAGAAAGAATGCCTTGAATTTTCTCTGCTGTTATAACTGCTAGAGGTAACTTTGATGAATCATAGAAATGACAATTTTTTGCTAGTAAAGGTACTCAAATTGTGAACATACTGTAAATTTATTTGTTAGCAAAGAATATTGAGTGTCCATTTAATAAATGTGAAGTGAGTAACCTGCATATGTAAAACATCACAGTTTGTGCAAAAACTTTTGACTGGTATTGTATATGCATGCTTACAGCAAAATAATAAAAAAAAAATGTGTCACTAAACACATGAATGTGAATATTGAGTTGTGAATTAAGGACTTACTTTGAACATTTTTTGCAAACCTCACAGGCTTGGTCAGGAACACAAAATAAGCCTGGTTTACACTGGCACTCTGTGTTCTGGGTAGAGGTGCAACTCTTGATCATATCTTCGTCTGCAGAAGAACACAAGCATATGTGCGCAGTTCATTAAACATGCACCGGGACGAGAGAAAGACAACCATGGAGGAAACTCCCTCGATGGCATGGTGGTTTTTCAGAAGTTTACAGGGTACGACCTCAATCATCGCTGTGAAAGCTGCGCAGTCGTCTCAGTAATGCGCAGATAACACATTAAGGATTGACCTGTATGGCCAACAGCAAAAGATTTAGTCTGAAATATGGTATAGTTTTAAAAAGAAGCAGGCAGGCGGTCGTCACACTCCATCTCACAGCTAATCTTCTTGAATACCCCTTTACCCAATGGATGCAATCATTTCTTTTGACGGTACAATACGAAGGGCACAGGATGGGGGCATTACCTATATGACACTTTTTACAAGGGAGGCACTGTGTCAGGCCATTGCCGTGCTCTGTGAAGGTCTCGTGTGGGCATGGCTCACAGGTTCCTCGTGCCAAATGTGCTGTACATTGCTCCTTAACATATTCTCCTGTAAAAATATGCAAGCAACTTGAATTTCTTTCTTTAAGATTCCAGGTAAATAACCGACAAACAGATTGAGTTCACGTACCAGCAGGGCAGTTCAAGCAGCAGTGATTTTCATGTTTGTACTCTTGGTTCTCTTGGCATGAGACATGTCGGACTGTTCGTTTCCTTGGTGATGCAGACTCCACAAAAACCACCATAAATAAGAACACCTAAGTCATGGAGACAGGAGAGAGAGCACAACGGGAAGAATTCACAGGTTGTAATAAAATTCAAATACATGCAAAAATACATGTATATACATAGATCACTTTTTCTAAATTAGTTGTCCCAACACAATTTTATTTCCTTAACGTGCATTAGCTTCAGCCATCTGGTGGCTTCCCACAAAGAATAAATTATATAAATGCAAACAGAATTTCAAAGTGATTTGAGACTGTTACATGTGTATCTCAGCATGATATCATCCCAATTACTCACTGCAATAGTTCAACAGAGGTCATAGCCTGACAGTTTTCATAACATACAACTATACAGTCATGCACAACAAAAGTGGAGTAGACCACTACTTAATTTGTCTCAGTAATTTATTGGTATCAGAAAAAATTTTCAGGAGTCAACCAGGCCAATATCAAGCCATCAATTTACTAGACCTGCTTTTCCTACGCAAGTCACGGGTTCTCCAGTCCCCGCCCCCCCCCCAAAAAAATGCTAAGGTGAATTGGAGTTTCCAAATTGTCCATAGGTATGAACGGTGTGTCTGTGTGTGTTTGCCCTGCAATGGGGTTAGGGTCCCATCCAGAGTAATTCCCTGTCTTGTGACTGTAGCTTCCAGAATAGACTCTAGACCCCCTGTGCGACCCTGAATAGGAAAAGCGGGTACAGAAAATGGATTGGGGTTGTCAGCTCCTGAAGTTGTATTCCTCAAGATGACATGGGGAAGACATGCAAACTCCACACATGGAGCTAAGATACAGGCTGGAACTCTGGTCCCAAGGCAATGGTGCTAACCACTGTACCCCCTCCCCCACCAGGAGGCCAATATAATGAACAAAAACAACACTACCTAAAAAGCATGCATCATAACGTGACCCAAACAAATGCCATATGTTGGACACAATATTTACCAATCTGTTAAAACTATAGACAAAACTAGGGATGCAGCAATAAGCCGCGCTCAAGCACTCGAAGATGTCCTCGCGACAACGAATATAACTGATATGACGTAAAATTGTATCTGCAATACCACTGTCAAACAAAATAAATGAAACAAAATATTTGCAGTATGCAAGTACCTCAAAGTTTATAAAAAAAACCAAAAGTACATTATCCATATACCTTTTTTTTCCCCAGCTAAAAAAAAAGTTAAGTGCTGCGTGTTTGCTTGTCTGTTGACACCAAGTATTTAGCAATCATACGAAGCAAGACAAAGTTACAGTAATGCCCTACTTTACTGTCTGAACAGGCATTTTACAGGACAGGACAAATGATAAAACGCAAATCAGTCTATCAGACGGTAGAGGTTTGGGATGTGTTAATGGATGGGAGCAGAAATATTATTTTTGCAGATGATGCGTTTCTGTTGGATTCATTGAACAGTCACCTGCTGTGTGCACTGAGGCGGTTTGCGGCCAAGTGTGAAGTTGCTGGGATGAGGATTAGCACCAGCAAGTCTGAGGCTATGGTTCTCAACCTGAAAAAGGTGGATTGCCCCCTCCAGGTTGGGGCTGAGTTACTGCCTCAAGCAGAGGAGTTTAAATACCTCGGGCTCTTGTTCACAAGTGAGGGAGGAATGGAGTTGGAGATTGACAGGTGGACTGGTGCAGCGTCAGCAGTTCTGTGGACACTGTACCAGTCAGAGGAGAGGGAGCTGAGCATCAAAAAGAGCCAACAAGGAGGTTCAGGCACCTGTCTAGAATACCCCCTGGATGTCTCCCTGGGAAGGTGATTTGTACATGTCCAACCAGTAGGAGACCCCAGGGCAGACCCAGGACATGCTAGAAAGATTATAGCTCTGGGCTGGAAGCTACAAGGTATCCCCCCCCCCCCCATGCAGAGGGGCTGCAGGAGGCTGCTGGGGAAAGGGAGGTCTGGGCATCTGATGCTCCCATGACCTGGATAAGTGGCAAGTAGATGGATGGATGACATTATAAAGGGAATGAACATCCTCATCCTCAGGCTGAAATGCAAAACCTTAACTGGTTTTACAATATAAGGCTACATCTGCCCAAACTTTATCTTAATGCACCAGCACTATCAAATAACTAACAAAATGAACACTGCCTTTTATCAGAATGTTAAAACACACTCCACAAAAAAAAAACATGTTTAAATATTTGTTCTCACTTGCCATGGTCTATTTATACGTTTTTTTGTTCTCTTTTAAATCTGACATGTATGTGCATGAAGAAACCTAGAACATGTAATTAGCATTTTATGTTATTTGTCTTTTTTATTGTCTGGTGCAGACAAGCTTTTCAGTAAGATGTTTAACTTGGGTATTATAAGGCCAATACATAATATAATTTCACATTTTTAAGCCAAAAAAAACTATGGATCAAATTTTTAGGTGGAGTATACACAATAACTGACATATTTTTCTGATGAATAATTGCAAAGCCCTGAGAATAGGCGAGATTTTCCCCATATTGTTGAACACTAATCCTTTTCAGTGAAGGGATGTCATGCATTCCAGAGAGTCAGTGGGACATTAAATGCACATGAGGACTTTCTTCTTCATTGGCAAAGGCATTTTATATGATTTAATTAAGCCACGTAAAGCTTTCTTTTCTTATTCGTAGCTTAACTACCTTTAGAAACCAACTGAGATATGCACTTCAATGACAGAAGTCAACACTAATATACAAGGAATGCGTTCTTTCTTGAGGAGTTGAGCAGTGAATCATTCTCTTACCATTTCTGTTTAATTTTGCCATCCATCACTATGTAACAGTCATAAATGGCCATCACTTAATCATGGGTATCAATAGACCACCACTGTATGGAGATGATGCACATTTGTAGTATATATTATTTATTCTACCAGTATATTTAGGGAGTTTACCCATTAAAAAATTATGGCAAAATATTGTATACTGTATGTGTAAGACAGAATTCCCAGTCACTAAACCCTTACTGTACTAAACTTGTTTGTTTAATTCAACAAATGGCCTATCAACAAATTTAGTGAAGCTTAATTAATCTCTCACACACACAGCAAAAAATTTGATATTTGAGCACATGTAAAATGATATTCCATACATGTGATCAGAGCAATACTTGTACACCAATAGCAGTAATAGCTATTGGCGTAATGTGGCCTGCAAAACTTCACCCTGGACTTCATCTTGTAAGACAAAGGAGAAATTCTCTGAAAAGTCCATCAAAACATATTACACATTTTAGGTACACTTCAGGTACACTTTAACCTATTTCAAAGAAAGCAGGAGATTAACACAGAGATTATTGTGTCATTTTAGTGATCTTTTTCCAGTCTCATAACTCCCATATTCCTTTTTAATAAAAGAAGGGAAAAAGTAAACATTTTCTACTTTCTTTCCAGTTCTGTGAAAGGAAAAACGCCTTTTGAGGTTCAAAAAGAGCATTTTTAAAAACCTCTTAAAAATGTTTGTGGCTACTTCTCATGAAGTAAAATGTCAAGTTATATATAAGTAATACACAGACACTTATTCAGTTATTTAAAAATTGACGTCATTTTTGCTACTTGCAGTATATAAACACACTTCAGATTTTTCCTCAAAGGGAAATTTTAAAAAATAAACAAAAGATATTTCTGACCGTTGGGAGGTATACGTGTAATTCATATCTCAAATTTAATCAAAATCAAAAATAGTCATACAGAAACTTTTTTTTTTCGTAAATCTGCTGCATTAAAACGTAATTGTCGATTAAGCGCAAAAGGTCTTATATGCACCAAATCACGCTGCAATTAGTCAGACTCAGATGTGTAGTGGCGGGCATATGCAGTCATACGGCATATACCCACCTCTGAAAATACCGCTTTCCCTCCTACAGTATACCCACCTAAAACTTGTCTGAAATGCCTATCAGTAAGAGGAAATACCTGTATACACAATTATACGGTATAACAGTATAACCATCTACCAAGAATGGAGCCCCCCGAAAAAACTTTTTTTTAAATCTGTTGAATTAAAATGGAATGGCCCATTATGGACACAGTGTCATTTAAGATATTATACGCACCAATTCAAGCTCAACATAGTCTGAACTCAACTTTGTTTATTCAGTCATGGTGTCATTTTAATTAAACACGAGAAAGCCGGAAACTGTCGTGATTCATATATTGGTATTGTATATTTTATATTCTCCAGGGTACATGTTTACTTTTTATTTCATACATGTTTACTTTAACTTGGACAAAACCTAAAACAGCTTCAAAACATGTTTCACAAGACGTGCAGCAGGGTCGTAGACTCACGTAACGTAGAAATACATACGCAGAATATCATTAGCAAAGCAAAACTTATATCTCATGTAAATATTAACTAGCATAAATCAACGTAACTAAAACTTTAAAGTTGCTGCCATAGTTGTAGGATTAAAAACTATCAACTACGGTGACTCACTGAAGTCTCCGTACCCTGATTAATTAATGTATCATGTTACCAATTCAATACATTTAATCGAATACGTATCAACTAATACATTTAAACGACATAACATAATGCCTTTTAAAATGAGCTAAAGCCTACTTACCAGATATTTGTCCCTCATTATAAATCAACAGCCGTAAAAATCAAAAGTGCAAAAACATATATGAAAAAACATCTTTTTAAAACATAACGAAAATCTGGATATGTCATTAACTAGAAACAGTTGTCTAAATATTATCACCAGTCCCAAAATAATACAACACAGACTTACGCCTTTCAGGACTAAAAGCCGGGAAGAAAAGACTTACTGCAATTCCGGGTCTGGCCTTCAGCTACTCCCTCTGACGTAGCATGCATTCCTGAGCAGATAGCAAGCCCGGTGGCAGCCGGGCGGCGGGAAATTCGCCCATTTATTTATTTATTTACTTGCTTGTTTTTATCGATCTACTACTACAATAATAATAAAATAATAATAATAATAATAATAATAATAATAAAATAATAATACTTGTAAAGTTCAGAAGTGGGATACTTGTATAAAGTAGTAAGACTTCATTTGCCCAGTTGGCAAAATCCCAGTGTCATACTGAATCATTGACTGAAATGATTCCATTTCATTAGATAGTTTTTGTATGTGTGTGTGTGTGTGTGTGTGGACATATTTTTTATGTCTACACTGGTGCTTTTTACTTTATAAAATGTGTTTCCCAACATGGTTGCCCTAGAGTACTTTACATTTACAGGTGCAAACATGCCCAGCACACCATACAACCCAAAGAACCCAGAACACAATAGAACAGCAGAACTAAAGAGTAAAAACCTCTCGGAGTCAAATGCACTTGCAGATACCAACAAGTACTTCACTTAATTACTTAATGCTTTTAGGGCCAGTTTCCCAAACAAGGATTAAGCCTAGTCTTGAACTAAATTGCAGTATCAATGGAGATTCACCATTGAAACTCAAAGCTAGTCTAGGCTTAGGCTTAATCCTTGACTGGGAAACTGGCCATTAATGTCCAGCTTACTAGATCAAAACTGCTTAAATGCATGTCCCCCCTCTAGAACACCTGGTTCTGACTAAATTAACTGATTATGCAATTGCTCTGTAAGGGGCTGATATCATGGTATCAGGGTTCAGGCTATGCCTTACTCTGGCCTTAATGTGGATGCATGGTAAAAAAAAAAATGGATCAGAATTGGGCCATCAATTAGGTTCAGAGCAGCAGAATTAAATGAAAATGTTTTTGTACTGGTATAACCTGACAAAGATTTACATTTTTTTTAATTTATAAAAGAGCAGCATATTATATGCTTAGCTTTATAAAGAAATTCTAAAAGTTACATGGTTGAATATTTGGTCAGAGAAATTCAGGTTAAATAGGCTAGTATCCTGGCAATACTCTTTGGTACTAGAATCTCATTAATTACATTTAGGTCAGAGGTGTCCTGGAGTGCAGGAGCCCAGTGTAGCTTAGTTCTTTCCCTGTTCCACAACAAATGATTCAGCTCAAGAGCTGTGTGGTAATTAGCACAAGGAGTTGAATCAGGTGTGTTAAATGAGGGGGACCCAAAAATGTGCAGGGCTCCAGCCCCCCAGGACTGGAGTTTGACACCTATGATTTAGGTCAGGGGTGGCCAATGTTATCCACAAAGGGCCGGTGTGTATGCAGGTTCTTAGGATAACCTGTAGGTCAGCTGTTCAAACCCAGGTGTGAGGACTCTTCAGCCAATCAGCCCTCTAATTAGTAGTTGCTGCGAAAACCCGCATACACACCAGTCCTTTGCGGATAACATTGGCCACCCCTGATTTAGGTACTTCCAGCACGTTTGTCATTTAGAACCTGGTTTTATGGCATAATGATTTCAGATGATACTTTTTTTTATTGATTCCTGTGGGGAAATTCTTTTCATGGCTCCCCCAACTTGCTCTTTGTCGGCAATAGTAAGCTGGCTGTGAAGGGCAGCCACCTGCTGTGATGAGAGTCTTGCTCAAGGGACTGCAGATGTGCCGAGGTTGGGTTTGAATAAGGGACCTTCTGATCACAGGCACACAGGCTTAGCCCACTGAGCCATATGCAGACCCCACTTTTTAAATTGATAGTTTTTAATTGATACTACAATTGATAATTGTATCATATTAAAAGTATGCTGGGAATATGTTTGTCCAGATCACAGTACGTGTACATTGAGTGTAAAGAACATTAGGAAAAACTTCCTAATATTGAATTGCATCCCGCTTTGCCTTCAGAGAACCATTTACCTGTAATTGTTCTGGGTGATGGACTCCAGAGAGTGAGCAGATACTCCATTGAGATGCCAGTTCGTTTTGAGTGCTTCTCATTCTGGTGTTAAGTTGACTGGTGGACTGTTCCAGATAAACACGGGACATGGTTGAGGTTAGTGTTTTACTTTAAAAGACACAATTCTTTAACCTATGTTCTTATCTTCACTAGCAACTGACTGAAGTGAATTTAACATTTTAAATAACTTTTGAAAGAGTGATTATAACCTTTACCTGGATTCTCATGGTCAAGGAAAAAACAGGTGTTATTCATTTTTTATATGCTCACTGTACATAATACTGTTATAATGAGGTCAAATGAATTGCTGTAGCTAAGTGTGTAGTTTTTTAAAATAGGTGTAAAGATGATGATAATCATCACTTTATTAATCCCCATGGGGAAATTGCCACAATGTTGCAATGTTACAAGAATAATAGAATGTAGAAGAAAAACTACAAATAAATTAAATGCATTAAAATAAAATTAACAAATGTCTCTGTACACTCTCAAATAAATTTCTTACAAGTTTGAGAAGTTTGTCTTAAAAGTTTTATAAATTTTGAGAATTTTAATGTGCTGTTATCCACATTGTTCTATGCCAACTATAAATATTTTACTGGCTTTTATAATAGTACTTGATATTTAATTATACAATATTTCAGTCTATTTTAAGCTGGTGTGGAAAATGGATGGATATATACATCAATGGGTGGATGAATGGATAGATTTTAAGACATCCATCCATTCATCTATTTTCCAACTGCTCATTTTGGTCAGGGTCACGGGTTTTTGTAAAAATTTCTTAATACTAATATAGCATAATACTACAGCATTTTAAAGAACCGAATTAAGGAACTTAAGTTTTTCAGTTATAAATTGATTTATGTTTCTTTACAGCAACTTCTTGCAACATTTGTGGAAAAAAAATCCCTATCACACGGAATGCAATACTTATCAGAGTTTGAAAGCCCTTCACAGTGAGTGTCGGTTAGAGTCTATCTAACAAAACAGTTGTCTGCAGGCCTGTGATATCTACTGTTGCATTGCTGCTGAGTCACTGTTCATGAACAGTTAAAAATAGGAAGGAGGATTCCTGATATTATTCACTGGTCATGACTGAACTTGTTATTTCTCATTTCATTTAAACAGTAATATCATTCACCTGCTTCTTGCCCCTCTTGCGATACCCTTTAGCGTCAAGAATAACAGCACTGCTGTGGGCACCTCATATTAAGCTAGTTTATGGATATTCTTGCTCTTTTCTTACTTATTCCTCTTTTTTTGCAGCTAATGAAACCATGTTCAGTTTGAGAAAGGCATAGATGTTCTTATGACCCCGGGGCATTTTGACTGAATCTGGATAGACATTCATGTTTCAGAATCAAGCAAAAACTTTTGAGAAATGTTACGGTCTTTCTTTCCTTTTCTTTAATAAAGCAAGACTCTTTCAAATATGATGCATTAAAAACCTGTAGTTATTAACAATAGCTAACAAAGATTCTTTAAAGGAACGTTTAATTTTAGTTCCATGCCATTTTTATTGGTTGGATGTGATGATTTACAAGATGTTTCAATAATGATAAAGTCTTATGATCAACTGATTTGTCATACAACAAAACTGAACCAAGAATGAGTTATTTCAGTGGGCGCAAATTTCAGGACATAGCTAAATTGTTTAGCATGCTAATTGGACCATTACATTACAACTGAGGCCACATTTTGAAAAGACAGGGTGTAGGGCTGTATCTGAAGACTCACTGTGTACACGCTACTGTGCACATTCTTTCCTGCTATGTCATTTCTTGGCACACTTCTTCCTGTGGGAGTTTGGGATAGCTGGAATAGCACAGCAGTATGCTACTTGGCACCAATGTTTACATTGCTGTTTACTGGCTCTGTCGCAAAGTGTTGGAGTTCAAATACAAACAAGTATACAAATAAACTGCGTATAAAATTATGTCAATTTCTGATCTTTAGGCATGAAAAACGTCATTGGGAATGTTCATGTCACCCATTGGTAGGTGAAGGACAAGTCAGCAGTCTGTGAAAGCATTTATCCCCATTATATGTGGAAAATAGTCATTTCTACAGCATGAGTTTAACACAACATTTAAAAGACACAATAAGCTGAAGAGATTCCCTTCACCTTTCACCACTGAGAAGCAAAACACCTTTTTCTAAAGCGGAGGGTGAGCTCTAACTGTTCCCGGGAACTTGTCTTATCATTCGCCACCACAATTGGCCGTGTGTATCTGTTCAGCGCATGAGCTTCCTGTTTATTTTGTCATGGACTGAGTAACATGTAGAGTGGGAGGTTGGCCTACCTCTCATCTCACTTGATGATAACTCACCAATGACTTCATTACTATTACTTGAGAGACTATCGGTCAATGATGCAAAATCAGTGACATTCAACAAATCTTACAACAGGCTAACATATTAAAAAAAACTAGTTTCAAATTGCAGATGATCCAAAATCTGGGATATACTTAAAAATGTAATAAGGTAAGACTAGTTTAAATATTGCATTTAAAGGCTATGAAGGAAATTAAGTTACTAGAGAACTTTGATAATTTATCAGTTGTACAGAGTGGCACACTTTAAATCATGATGATGTCTTTTCAGCAGTAATGTTTCATAAACTGTACATAATGTCACACAATACCCTCTACTGTATAATTTAATATTTAAATTAATATATTAAAGGCTGTTTTAAAGGGTACGTTGCACACTCTAAAATAAACTACAACACATGGCGACAGGGCCAAATATCCGTTCTGACTTCATGAAGATAAGGACATTTTTTGTACGGTCATTGTCATAATATTCTTATGGCTCATTAGCGCCATCATGTGTAAACTTGCAATACAAAATGTTTTTATGTGCAGTGTTTTTTAAGCTTTAATAACTAATATTAGTTCATTGCTGTTATATAGAAAACCATCCCTGTATATGGCAGAGCTGTGAGGCATTGAATCTGTACATGAAAAGTGAAAAAAGAAGCACACATTCTTCCAGCTACGGTGGAAAAACACAAACATCATGAGAACACACTGACAATAACTAAAACTAAACACTAAAAATGCTCTGAATGTATTTAAGTAGGAGCATGAAACAGGACCAGTGGTAAAACAACACTGGACAACTAGCAGGACAGCCTTCCTGAACAACCCAGCATGTGGTGCTGTCAGTTTTGAATGTAAAGTTTAAATAAAACAGTGTATTTTACTATATTAGTCACAAGCAATGGCAAACTCCAAATATTGACTAAAATGTTGTTCATCTGTACATTTATTTCTAAAATATGAACTTTAACTGTACAGAGAATATTGAACATGTCCATAAGCTTAAATTCAATACACCACACAGCTGCCTTGGCAATATCAAATATGTATGTTCAGACCTAAAAATGCTCTAGCAACGTCTTCAGTTATATATTTGTAAATATGGTTCAACGTCTTCTTGTTCCCAGACCCATGTATACTGTACAATGTTCAATATTTACAGTAGTACAAGGCACAACAATTGTGACGTAAAGCAAAGACCATGCAAGATGTGGATAGATGGGTGTTTGTAAATGTAGAAGCAGACTGTAATATGTGTGTCTGTGTAACTATATGCACACACACACACACACACAAAGACAGTACTAATCAAAATTTTTGACACGCCAACGCACCTATAAAAGACAGTGCTAGTGTTGCATCACATGACCCAGGCACCTGACCTAAATGCAGTAGAAATGATGATGTGGAAGTTTGACCAGAGAGGGAAGGAAAAAGCAGTCAATGAGTGGTCAGCACATGTATACGTGGGACCATCTTCAGCACAGGAGGCCGCCTCATAAAAATGGCTTAGAGGAGAATGTAGGGTCATCCAGTCCCTGGAGCAATTGGGGTTAAGGGTCCAATGGTGGGATTACTCTGCTGACCCAGGATTGCAACCAGCAACCTTGAGTCCCAAACCACAGGACCCCCACCCCCCCCCGCAACCCGTACTTTTGTCCATACATGTTATATTATAGTGCTGTTGTTATAATTGTTATAAAATGTAGAGCATAGTACAAATAAACCTTTCTATGGGTATTGGTGTGTCCAAACTTGACTGGTACTGCATATGTATGTATGTCTTTGTGTGTGTGTGTGTATATATATATATATATATATATATATATATAGTGCTGGAATAAATAAAGAGACCACTCAATATTTATGAAAAAAAAAATCTGCATCTGTAAATTCTGGTTTAATCTCGGTTCTGTGGGCAGACGGCTACAAGGCTGGTTGCTCTCAGTCTTAAAATTTCTAAGACAGCAGTACCCAAGAATAAGGTGAAGCAGGAGACACTGGGTACGACCAGAAACCAGCCAGGTAGAGGGCAGAAGCGACTTTCAAATGGCAGAGATGATTGCCAAGTTATCTGACACTCTCTCATGATTCGCAGGATGACATCATGTGACCTTCAAAAGGAACGGGAATTAAGTGCAGGTGTGAAGTGCACTGCTAGGACAGTTCATATCAGGCTCCTAGAAGCAGGACTGAAGTCCCATAATTTGGGAAATGAGTGAAACAAATAACTGTGCTGTGGTCTCTCAATTTTTTTCCAGAGCTGTATATGCACACATTGGTATATTTAATAGACTCGGACACACAGAAAAAGAAACAGGTTTGCAAATCATGTCATCAATGTCATCAAACACATACACAGATGCATAGTTACAGCACAGTGAGGGACAATGTGAAGCACAGTCACAATGTATGTTAACCTGAATTTGTATATTTTGCTACGTAAATGGGCAAAATCACTTTGGATAAAAGCGTTCTTCACTGTATAATTAAGGTAATCATTAAACAAGAAAAAATGAACTGTCATAAAGTAGAAACAAAAACAGAGAGTTCACAAGCCACCATTCCTTGTACCCCAGTATTGGTTCATAAAATGACTATGTGAACTGTTTTATTAATTAACCTTTGTTAAAATACAACATATGAGAATATAATCAACCTGAATTTAAATCTGTGACGTGTGCACATGCATGTGTGTATGTGTGTGAGAATGAGAGATAAATAAAAGAATGCAAAAGAAAATCACACCATCATATTTTTAGCTGTCAATAATTTTTTTTTTATACAGCAATCCATTTTTACAGGAATTATGCAGAAACCTACCCAAGACTCACTGCTGAATATTTCATGGTGCCTTAAGAGAAGATTAAGTGGGGGGACTGATTAAAGGGAGATGGTCAGAACATAGCGTCTCGCTGGCAGTTTAAATAAGCAAAACATTTAATGGTGCTCAACATGTAGGCAGTCACAGTTTTTAATCACTTCAGTAACTTGGAAAAAAAAAAACAGCAGCTTTTGAATAGTAACATATCAAGTCTATATGGTCTTTGCTAGACCTTAATGGACACATAATGACCAAGTTAAATTAAATTCATTCCTGGTTATATGACAGAAACTATTTAGGTCCTGAGCAGTTTATGTGATTAAAACTCTTGTAATTTAATCCTATAAACTGCAGAAAAATATATATACTGTATATATCAAAGTTTAATATATTCTTTAAAAGTTAAGTCACAATATGAACAATATTTGTAGCAGTCATAACCCAATACATTATAGTCCAGCAGCCTTTCCCACCAACTTATCTTCAAAAATAATAGTCTGAAAGGTTTTCTACAATACCAAATCTTTCAAAATGTTTAGTGCTTTGAAAGCAACATCCACTGTGAATAACCACTACAGCGACCACCTGTTGATTAATCATTACCCTTTCTTTTTTGAAAGCCTTCCCCCTAAACCACTGGAAATAGCTATTACCGATTCCACTCAGAAGCATACACAGCATGGTCCATTGACATGGATTAGGAACACTTTAGTTTACAGGGGCAAAAGTACCTTGCTGTATCCCTATGGATGGACCTTTATCACCATTCTTTTCAGTTTTGTCTGTTGTTAATTACTTGCGGTTTTGACAGCTAGCCTGTTGTTCCTCTATTGTTCGGGAAACAGAGGTTGATTCCGTACAGGTGGCAGGAGGGTTTTCCTTTTCAGTGTCAGGCGAAATGGCTGGGCAGTCTTCCTTTCTGTAACAAAGGGCCACAGCCACACCTGGAAGCGTGACTGCGAATCCCTAATGACTGTGTCTTTTCTACTGATCCCCACAGCACTGGCTAGCCCCGTGTTCGCCATTCAAGCCTTTGACACGTCAGAGGTCGAGCTCTTTTCTTTAAGTGATACATGTGCTGCTCATTTTGTACCTCAATGGGGAGCTTTAAGTGGGAAAGTCTGGGACACCTTAGAAAACACAACAGATGTGTCCTAAGATATTAATGGGTAAATGAGACAACATGAAACAAAAAAGTGCACAATGCCATAGACTTGTACAGAGTATTTTTTCACATCCTCATACTTCTTGGGGTAGGAAAAGATTAGTGCTATCACAATGTAGACTGCAAATTGAAATAAACATCTTCTGTTTACAGGCTCAACTGGAATCTTTACTGAAAAAAGGCTAACATTTTCCCAATTACCATTATCACAATGCTCCCTTCTACAAACTTATATGCTAGAATGAAAGCTGTCACATATTTTATTTGACAAAGTTCCCATCGTGCCATTTTAAATGATCCCCTTTGGCAGACAGATTTCGCAATGTTAAACTGCTATGCAAACAGGACCTAATAGCACAGAGGATTCTGCGAAGGCCCCACAACAGCAGCACACAAGAGGTTACAGTTGTTTGCAAGCCACAGAGAGCCAAAAAAAACCAAAACATTCCATCCCCACCTCAGATTGTTCAGGTCAGTCACATTCGAAAGCATAAAGATTTTCCTAAAAGGCAACCCTTGTGTCTCGATGTTGTCTGGTGAAAATGAACCCCTGTGGAGGAAGGAGCGATTCAGTTCGAAAAGATTTATGGCAAAGCAAAACGCCAAAAGGAAATGGCAAAAGTGAAAAAGGAAACAGAAACCCAATCAAACAAAGCTAAAGAAAATTAAAGAACAGAAAAGAAAATATTTCACATGTATGAAGGGAGACACGAGAGCATGGTTAGGAAGTCCAGCCAAGGCAGAAACACACCGGCTGCATGTTGGTACAATCCTTATTTTCCCATACGGGGAAAGAAACAAACATCTGTTCAATTTCGTGAAACTCATCCGATAATAATTCAAATTGTTTCACATTTCATTCGCATTGATAATGCATTAGGTTTCTTCAATGATGATGTTTCTCTTTTGGCCCCAGTCTGAATTCAGCTAGAAAGGGCGGGTGGCGTGTCTTCTGTTAGCAGTTTGCAGACCGCGTCATCCGTCTGCCTTCCCAGTACTGGCTTTCCCAGTTGCTACTACGAAAAGTCTGACTTTGGTTCCTCTGGGGTTTTCACTGGGCTTTTGGAGTGAATCTTGCCAATTTCCTCCAGTGCACTGGCTAGTGAGTCCAGATCACTGTTATCCTGGTGCTGTGCTTCCCACAGGTTCAGAATAACTGCAGAAGGGCTCTGTTGTTTGGCAAAATAGGACAGATTTCTGTAATGCAACACAAAGAAGAAGAATGTCAGTGGTCATATTGTGAATAATTCAACTTCTGAATTCTAATATAGGTAAATCATATCTGCACAGTGGGACAATACATTGCAAAATGAATAATGTATTAAATACACAAATATTTACTAAAGACTTGAATCTTAAATGAAACTAAATATATGTACATTATTGCAATATCAAAAGCTGCTCATTTTACTTATAGCCATTGGAGGGCACCAGAGTGTTTTATCACATTAAAAGGCTTATTCTACATGGTGAGACACCCTCAGACCCAAGTCAATGAATTAAAAATCAGCTTAACAAACGTTCAGACACTCTCATTATGTACAAGCAGCAGGTCTGGCTGAGCTGCAGCACAAGGTTCAAAATCCTCAAAAATCCCTCAATTACTGCTGCTTGTTTCCCCGCACGCATATAGCAAATGATATAGTGAACACGGCATTCATCGCTAATCACAAAGCGACAGAATTCCCCAATGTCTTCCCTTATCTCTCACAAATGTCTGCAGACACGTTCAAAACCTGAAATTTCTTTTGACTGTTTACTCATGGAACTGGAGAACAGAGAGCTCTAAGATACTGCGTGACAGCACCAAAAATTCTCGAAATCAAAAATATACATTATGTAACAATAAATCTTACAGAGATACACCATTATACTAAATGTCACGGGACACATATAGTTATAAAAAGAAAAGTGTAACATTTTACTTGAGGGGGCACAAATAAGTTAGTAACTCGGTTACTACTCAATGTTTAGCAAATAATTAAGTAAAATAGTTCCTGCATGAAATACATGAACTGTCATAATTAATAAATGATGATTAAACATAGGATCAGTATGTAACTAACACTTAGGTACTAGTTAGTTAATGCATTAAGTAAGAGTGTACAACTGCATTATTTGTGCACCCTCAAGTAAACTGCTACCGAAATAAGCAACACATTGGCTTGCTTTTGGCCTTAATTATATTTTAATCTATCATAGAAATTATCTATTTTATTTTTGCTAAAAGCAGTAGTATTGTGTTCTACTCCACTGCAGCATAGAACCTTCACTACAGCCAAAGTTACGATGTTATTCCCTACGAAGCAAAACACACCAGTGCATTTAATAACCACAGCATGTGGTGTGACTTCTAGTTACACAGAATATACAAATATCTAGAATCATTAAGGTAGGAATTAAGTGCTTTCTGTCACACTCAGGGTTTTGATATAATTAAATCTGCAGCATTGCTGCAAAGGACAGCATAAGAATATGCATGCTATTTATAATGCAGGTCATTGGTGGCTTCTTTGTATTAGAGTTTGACTCAGATTAGGGACAAATAGCTAACAAAAAGGTCAAACCCATACCTGTGATTATTGATGCTCACCAGCTGGCCCACGGCTGGCCTCCTTACAAACAAACCTATCAGAGGAGACTCATATATCCTTGCAATGATGTAGCTCAGCCGTGGTGTTCCTGCCCTTTTCAAAATTCACACCGTGACTTTTGTGTTTTAATTTACCTTTCATATGTTTAATATAGTGAACTTCATTTTACTTTGCGATTCTGAGACTATAGAATAGACCATATTACAGGTAGTGTAACAGGGTTAGTGCAAGTATAAGGCTTTAAAAGGAAAGGGGAAAGAAAAACCTATTAATTTTTGAATAGCACTTCAAGATGTATCTTTCCACTTTTCTGGCAAACTACTAGTCATGCTGTTCCGAAGAAGGAATGTATGGCAGCTTAACACCCACTTAAATACTGAATGATTTTTATTTATTTTCAAGGGTATCTGCCTATCAAACACTGATCAACTGTCACCGATTCCACCATCTTGTAAACAAGTAAGAATACTTTTAGTGGCATTTCCACATATTTTCCATCTTGTACTGAATGAAGTGAGTGGGCTGAACAATCACTAGGGAACAAGCAGAGTGACTATAATTGGGCTTTTAACATCTTGGTTGCCTTGGAAATACACGTCTCAAGGCTGGACCAGGTGCTCTCACCTCTCAATGTGGAGCTTCCGGGCTAAGAGCTGCCAGTCTTTGCCTTTGGCGTTGGCAGTGTCGAAGGTGGCACAGATTCTCTGCCGGATGGAGTAAGGGATTTTGAAAGCTTTGGGGCCAGTCTGGGAGGTGACTGTGCAGTCAGAATGTGTGAAGAACGGTACTTGCTCCTTTTCTGCCTGGGAAGCCAAAGACGATGTGGAATAGCGATAGAGGAGAGAAATGCAAAAATCTTGCAACTGAATCAAGTATTTGCAAGCACAGTTCATTTTACACAACTCTCTGTACAGGGTCTTTCCCATCTTTTGCTGCAGTTATCAGTCTTTTGTAGTTTTCCCATGCTAAAAATTTCAGTGAATCAAGTATACATGAGGAGAACAGACACTTTATGTGCCAGAGACAAAAATAAAGCGTCTTAGAATAGCCCACTCGACAGCAAAGAATTTAGCCAACATGGGCCTGGCCAAGGTCGAGATCCTCACCTCTGCCACCAATGTGTAAACCTGGAGGATCTGCTCGTCCCCTTTGACCTGACGCACGCTGATCTTGCAGGACAGCTGCGTGGTGCTGGGGCTGTATCTCTCCAGGGAGAAGGCACAGTGCAAGGGCTGCTGGTTGCTGCACCATACATGTGAGAAGGAAAATTCCTGCAGCGGAGTACAAGGAACACAGAAGCTTGTTGAACCGGTGGGCCTTTCACGTCTCCATGTGACAAAGGAATCGCTTCCCTGTCATAGATATGGTGCATAGTGTATCGTAAAATAACACCGCAAAGTGGAGTCCGATCTTTAAAGGCCTAATGCACATGAGAGATGTGGGGGAGCTGTTCTGTCCACCATAACACTCAGCACTGCAATCTAGCTCTTCCTGAGGTTCATTAACCTTTTCTGATTCTGGACCCTTCCTGAGGTACATGAAAACCAATGCAAAATCCAAGGTAATTCTGATAATGGACCATCTCTCCAGGAATAAGAACTACACAGCTGAAAAACAGGCGCAAGGAAAATGATTTCCTTTGATGTGTAATTAATTTAGGCAGCAGAAAGAGGCCGTGACACCCCCCCCCATCATCTTCCCTATCTCCACGGTGACCTGCACAGAAAGCCCAGTGGAGGTGAGGGGGACATTAGATTAAAAAAAAGCTTTTTGTGCGCCATTACAGGACTGGGCACCAAGTTTTTTTCCAGTAGTGCAGTATTAAAATGGGAAACAAGGTGTTTCTTATAAGTAAAAGCTGACTAGATATACAGCTCCGGAAAAAATCAAGAGACCACTCTATAAAGTATATATATTTAAATCTGAATTCTTAAATCCTGGTTTAATCCTGGTTCTGCTGGCAGAAGGCTACACTGAGAGACAGGCTGCTTCCATGTTCAAAGTTCCTAAGACAGCAGTACACAAGAACAAAGTGAAGCTGGAGACACTGGCAATGACCAAAAACCAGCCAGGTAGAGGGCAGAAGCAACTTTCTAATGCCAGAGATGACTGTCAACGTATCTGACAGTGCCACATAAATCAGAGGATGACCTCAGGTGACCTTGCATCCCACTATCTCCATCTATCTGTCCACTTGGAGATCTCTCAAGCATAACTCCACCAATCAAAGATGCAAAACCCATACTGGTTGCAAAGAAAACTATCCTGTTAAACTGGAAAACCAGACACACAGGTAATATCACACAATGGTCAAACCTACTCAAAGAATATATGAACTTATGGAACTTATTACCCTACAGCACCAAACCTGAGACTTTTTGGGAAGTTTGGGGCTCATTTACCACTGCACTGGACTTGCCTGTAAACTAAACCCATGGAATGACACACATAATCACACTCACACTCGCACAGACAAACATATCGTCACTATAATTCCTCAGTGCAATCATACCCCAATTGTTGCAGGTCATAAGCTGTCCTGCAAAGAGGGGGGGGGGGGGGAGTGGTTGATAAAGGACAAGGGGCCCAACAGTGAACCACGGTATTCAACCTCACAGCCTTCTGGATATGGGCACAGAGCCTTAGCCCACTGAGCTACACACCCCAGTTCCCAGAGAGGTGTGTATGAAGCCGTTTTGATCCTAATTATTTCACAAGGAAGCCTTGTGGCCAAATTACAACCTTCAACCTCCACATCAAGGAGCCACCACCTTGCCTGATGCTCAACTCTGCCTTACTGTCCTCCCTTTATGCTGGGACTGGGGTACAGAGTACAGATATACTGTATATTCATGATGATCAGAAACAGGCCTTGCAGAGGACATGGCGGACAGGGCTATGAGACCTGAAGCATCTGGTCTTGTGGATAGGGATTCACCTGCGAGTAAAGGTTGGTGGATCAAATCTCAGGAGGGGATCTCCTTTTGTGACATTGAGCATTATGTCTGACCTGATTCTGCTCTAGCAATGTACCGAAAAGTTATTTATAAAATATCTGAGTTGCTGGACAAATCAGACCTGCTACTAAAAAGGTCAAATTAATTATAATGTATATAATAAAGTATGAAAGATAAAATGTATGCTAAAGCATACCTGCATCGAGAAAAGGTGATATTTATACATACATTCTGCTGGCTGGATTTTTTCTATTTTGTCCACTTCAAAGCTTAGTATATCTTTTTAAACTAAAAGGAAAAGGTAGCATTTATCTTCACTAATCATTTAGCTAAGACACTTAAAACAATGACATAAATCAGGTTCCTTATCAGCTTACAGAACTACTAAATTAGTTATGCTCCAGAGCTGTAGCTAATTCTTTGCAGTGATTATAGTTATTAGCGTCTGCCTAAGTATAAATACGAACGCTGTGAGATAATATAATAACATACTTAGAAACATGCTGCCATTTTTCTACCTGACAAGTGGTGAAGGGCTTGATATTCCACAGGAACTGTGGCACATCCTGAATGGACACCTGGAGGTTGAATGCATTTCCCCTGAAGCGCAGTGTTTTAGGTTCCTCCAGCAGCTGCCCACCTCTACCTGTTTCTGCAGCAACTGCCGCCTGCAAACAGAGAGAGAGTCAAACTGGAGCATGATGCAAGACCCAGCTTGAACAGTGGGACGCCAAGGAATTAATGGCAGGGCATCCAATAAACCAGGGCGTGATTTGACAGGTGTGAATGATATTTTTGTTCATCAGTAGCATTTTTTTGTACGTAGCTCAAAACAAACACAACTGCACTACGACCAGCAGCCTTTAGAATCTTATCTCTAATACTGACATGTAAGGACACAGAAAGAATCTATTTAATTAGAGACATAACATCATATAGTTTCTTTGCCATCATTGTCATGAGACTGTACATCAGAAATATACAGTGGCATACAAATTTATATGTAAAGAAAAGTTATTATCTAAATGCTGTGCTCATGTAGTACTATTCGTATGATTTAAATACTATTACATTTAAATGCAGTTTTAACAGTAAGAAGGAGGAAAACAACACATCAAACTATTTTCTTGTCTTGTATTATTATTTCATCTGGGTACATAAAAGAGCAGCTTTCCAGAGCCATTAAACAAGCAGCCAAAACATAACAGATAGAAGTTTCAATTTATAACCTTACAAATGCGTATGTGGGTTTAAATAAGAGTTCGGCGCATTTCCGAAACGAACGTGCTATCGATGAAAGACCTTTCTGATTTTAGACCTTAAGATATTCATCAATTATGCCTATTTTGTGATCCCTGATAGGTTCAAACACACAAGCCTTCCTTTGTCTGCTCCATCACATACAGAGAGGTCAGCACAAGCTGGACCTAATTGACTGAGTATAATAAAGGTTTCCGTGTGTCCTTGTGTGGCTGTAGCGAAGAAGAGGTTATTCGAATAGTAAGAAATAAAACCTTAAAAAACTGACTTGACATTGCTGGGGCTCCATTCAAATAGCGCTCTTCAATAAACAATACCATCTGCTTCTGTCACTCAGCATTACTGTACTGAACAAAGGCAAAACACAGCAACTATGCTGACACCTAAATTGAGAAAACAGGCTTCAGAGTTTTTTGACCACTCACCCGTGTGTATAGTAGGCATGTAAATTATATTGTTTTCATCAAATCCAAGCATAGCTGAAGTAAGATGTTTTGCCACGAGATAAAAGAGCCTGATTTCGGTCATCACTCAATTTTGATGAAATACGCAGTTACAGTGGTTTGCCTTTGTAAGGTAGTGTACCCAAAATGCATTGTGAGGTGTGTGTCTGGGAGTTTCTGCCTGCCTTATGGTCCTACGCCCCGTCAGGGAGTTATGGCGTGGGGGGTGGGGTGGGGAACGGAACCACAGACAAAATGCTCATATCTTCCAAATGCTGCAAAGTTCTCATGATCACATTCCATGTGGTCAGATGCCCGCAGCGTCTTTCTGATTATACAAAAAATCTTTGACAATCTAGCAGGCTAGTTTGCATGATTGTCATATACAAACAGAATGCTGCTACTACACCTAAACATCTATTTGTTACTTGTATAAATAATGAAGCCTTAACTTGTAATCGGACAGTCTAGCTAATTGTGAAATCAAAGTCAATTCATTGCTAAGTAGCACCTCACTCACCTGAAAGGCATGCGGCGTATCATCGACACAGTACACGCGCAAACTATAGTCCAGTGAGCTGCTTCCCATGCTGCCAAACACAGCCATCTTCAGCTTCTTGACAGCGCTTTCAGTGAGGGGCTCACCAACCAATGCATAAGACCCCGGCTGCTCCAGCAGAAGATGGCAGCTATGGGAGTCCAACAGGCAGTAGCAAAATGTTGTTTCATCCTCCATTGACATCACTTCCTGAAACACATCACCAAATATCCTAAATATGCTGCAAAGTGGTATAATGAACATCCCAGCAAGTAGGCCCCACAAAGGTAACCTCAATTTTATAAAAATCTGAAATGCAATCCAAAAAAAAAAAATCTAAAATGGCCAAAAATCTTGTTTTTCATTTGGTTACTTGTGGTTAAGGGTTAGGGTTGTCATAGTTAGGATTAGGGTTATCCCCATAGAAATGAATAGCGTGTCCCCAAAAGATACAGATACCTAATCTGTGTGTGTGTGTGTGTGTGGGGGGGGGGTGTAGTAAATTTAAAGTGAAACTATAAGTAAAATGTTAAAGCAGCAAAACAAAAGTTAAAAGTCATAAGTCATTCATCCAATTCTCCATGGGAAAAACTGGTATAAAATTCTCACTGGTGCAAATGTCCTGGTGCCAGACTGAGAGGAACAGTACAGAACTACATTTCCTTAAAATGATCCTTTACACTTCTCCTTTTTGATCAGATTACCACGATGTCCTTTGCCTTTCATCCTGCTAAAAGGGCTTCACCATTTTAAACTACCTGAGGAAGACATGCAGTCTTTTCTAGGCAGAGAGATGCCCGGAAGAGACGTCATTCAAACTCTATTCATGAGTGACTCATGCCTGGAAGTTCTTTTGTAGTCTCTTCCTTTTGGGGGAATTACCTCTTGTGCAAATGTCAGTTACAGTTAAAAGTCTGCGTTTTGTCATCCTTAGTAGTACTCAAGCAACAGATTATTGGGTTCAATCTGAAAATGTCTTGGTAACCTAAGGAAAAACACAGGAATTGGCCAAAAAATTGAGACAAAAATGAAGCATAATGGAAATACAGCAAACATGAACTGTGAAAATGGTCAGTTCCAATGAATGAATGAAAACAAAGTTAGGTCTCCTGGAGACTTTTCTCATTAGACTGTACACATAAGTCAGACCAGAGCCCAGCTTAGGAAAGAGGTCAGACAGAGAAACGCCAGTACTAGGTAGCACAGTAAAACAGTATTTCAGGAAAAGAAAATCTTCCTTTAGTTTACTTTTGTGTATTCCTAGCTCGAGGTAAAATGTGTAAAATGTATAAAATTGTGCACTCCAAGCATCATTTACCTACCAAGACTTAGTTCAATGTAAATAAATATGCATGAACACCATCAATTAGAACCAAGAGGACAGTAGTTGTTTTTAGAAAAAGGCCCAACTAAACAACAGATAGTGAAATAATATAGTGAAATATAGTGAAAAACTGCACTTTATACAAAGTCGTAAATAAATCTATCCTTCTTTCAAACCATGGGGTGGTTCAGAGCAGGCAGAGTCTATCTCTCGAATGAAAGGGCACAAGGCAGGGGCCAAATGCAAATTCGCCTAACTGTATGTCGTTGGACTGTCAGGGGAAACCAGAGAAACTCTAAAACGTCTAACAGGGAGAACATGCAAACTCCACACCCACACTGAATAAATATTAACTGATTTCCCACGCTAAGCAGCAGGCTGCTTCCAGGATCAAAATTTCTAAGACGGCAGTACACAAGAAAAAGGTGAAGCAGCAGACACTGGCAACGACCAGAAACCAGCCAGGTAAAGGGCGGAAGAGACTTTCTAATGTCAAAGATGACAGTTAACTTATCCGACAGTTTCTCATGAATCGTAGGATGACATCAAGTGACCTTCAAAAGGAACGGGGAACATTAAGTGCAGGTGTGAAGTGCACTGCTAGGACAGTTTGTAACAGGCCCCTAGGAAAAGCACTGAAGTCCCATAAAGCTTAATTTTTTTCCAGGGATCTGTATACATAAGTGCTCAAACTCACACACACACACGCACACGCACACATGAACACACACACAATGTCTTATATTATATACAATACAATGTAAAAAGGATATCCTACTGTTTCAAAATGTACATGTAAACAAATTGAGACTTCATTTAACAATCTTATGTTAGTGTCAATGTAGCAAACATGCTAAGAATGAGCTTGGCTTTAGCTGAACAGAGGTGTGCCAATGACCACACTAATACAATACTAATGTTTTTCTGTGGTGAACGTTTCAGTGGCCTTTTGGGCAGCTAATCTGTGTCTCAGTGCCGTTTTTGTCCCTCTAAATGCCTAGTGAAGATGTAGGCCAGGTTAAGAGGCTGAGTAACCAATTTCATGATTGCATTACGACGGCTCCCATTTCATTCTGTCCTTAGCAGACCCAGCCGATCGATGCCGTCCATGTCCGTGCGGCTCCTGGTCTGTTGTTACCCCGGGGTGACTGACACGGGTCGTGTGTCATCCCTGCTATTTTATGCAGGGATTGTTTTTCCTCAAACAGCCCCCACCTGCGTCTTATTGTGGACTTAAATGGAACTGGGACACATTTACCGGCCTCACTCTTCACACATCAGGCAAGTGGCGCAGCTCGTCCACAGAAAGTGCAGTCAGGACGGACTGCGTTGGCATTGTCCAGAGGACAGAAAAACATTCTGGCATCTGTGCACATACCAAGCCACACGCCTTTTCTGAATGAAATGTGACAGGTGAAGTAAAAAAATGCAGACTTTTTAAATAGAGTGAATTACTTTAATACTTAGCGACCTTCCTGAATAATTTCCGACATGTGTGCTGTGCGTTCCAGGCTAGTAACAATGAGCACTGATTTATTTATTCATTTAGCTATTTTACCTCCCACTTGTTATCCTGGGTTTTCCTTTTGAGCCGAATGTTCCAGTTGTCCTCGCTGACTTCAGCGCAGTGGGCTATTGTCATTGCTACAGGACAGGACAGGCTGAGGCCAGGAGGTCCGTATGTCACCTCTGGGCCCAATAGAATTTCATTCCCCTCCTCCGAATGGGCACTGCAACACATTTGTGATGATAAGAAATTACAAACACCTGATCAACAATAACAACCAGGACCATTGTGACATTTTATATAGGGAATGCAGCCTCGGTTGCAAGTACTTAATTAATTAAACCAGGCACAAGGAGAATGAAAGGAAATCAATAACAACTAATCTAAATAATCTAAAAGAACTGCGCGATGGAGTCAGGTAATAAACTATTTTTTAGAGACCTATTTTGTTTTAACCACAAAATCATTATATGAGGTTACTTTTACTTTTATGTAGGCCTGACCTACCAGCCAACATCATCTATCCATTTTCTGCTAATGCTAAAACGGCTGAATTCTGCTTTTGCACCTCCAAGTCAATTTTTTTTTTTGTTAAAACAGTACTTTCATCACAAATAAAGTCCAATTTCATAATTTCCTCCCTCCAATTCATGCTTTCCTTCCTGTCTGAAGTAGCACTTACAAATATATATTACAATGTATCACTGCTGGTACATTTTTTTTTTTATTTCCATTGAAAATTCAAACAGATAATACATGCATACAGCTGTGCAGGAGGTAAAAACAAGAGCATTAACATTTATATATTTAAAATAATAAAGTAGCAGCCAACAAATTCATACAATTATAGCTGCCTCCATCTTAATGTCATGTCTATATTATGTTTGTATGTCTTAGCATTTAAATTCGATTACATATTTTTTTAAATTTGCACTACGATCAACCAGAATAATATTATAGCTCACTGTATAACTCCACGTATCATATATCTGAAGCTGTCATAAATGACATTTTCAATTTTGACGCTTTCACATCATAATATTTTTCAGAGAAAAGAACATTAAAAGATACAACAGGAAATTCTTCAAGGTCTAATACTTTCCCAGGAGGTTCACAAACAGCCACATGGTTTACAATCTGAAGTTTGGGGCACTGTTAAAGGAATCTGTCTCCTAAGCTATTGCTTGCTTTGCATATTGATCAGTTTATGCTCACTAACTTCCAGCCGTTATCTTTAATTTCCATCGGTTCTGATGATGGTGAGGAATGAAACAGGAGCAATTAATGAGGGAAATTAACAAAGGTGGTGTTCTGTCATGAAAATCAAAACAGCAAAACAAAAGCTCGCAGCTGTTCCGTTTCTGCAGTCATTACAGAGGCAGAATGAAAGACGTTCACCTGGAAACACAAACGCATTCGTTAAAAACAGGCCAATGATAAATAGAGGCTGCTGCATGTGTTAAATGGAGGAGAGAACGTGACATTTTAAAATATACAGAAACTGCCCATTTAAATGTAATATTAGTAAACAGTGATCTGGACTTGAAATTTCATTGTAGCTACTTATAAAGCATTTTATACTAAGTGTGACTTCATCCATTTTCTCTAACCAGTGTGATATTTAAAAGTAAACTTGAGCCTGTATGTTGGGGGAATCTAAAAAAAATGTCTTTCAAGATGTTTTTAAAAAGGAGAAAGAGTGCAAATGAGGTATAAGGTGTTAATCTGCTAACATTGAATAGATGCTTATGTGTGTAGTACATCTATAAAAAGCTATATAAAGAAATCATTCCTTCAGGTTTAAAAATCAGACAAAATATCTATTTCATATCACTGAGACACAGCAGATGACTGTAATACAGGTATTGACTGAAATGGAAATAATGCACAATATAAAACAATATTAATATTATATTAATGTTTTGAAACTAAGAAGCACTCATATTACACTGCAGTGCATGGTATGGGAATGCGCGCGCGAATGGTGGTACTTTCTCTGGCATGAAGTCTCGACAGCGAATGAGCCAGAGTCATTATTCTGTTACTGACGAACCTCCCTGTAGGGTTATAAAAATGGGCATTGGTGAAGTGGAAGAGGACGAGTGCTACATACAGCTGAAAATGGGATGTCGATTAATGCTGTGCATTGAAAACCCTCAAATTTACATTTACGTAATTGCCACATTATTTTACTGGTGTTTACGTTTACTAAACGCGTGTGCATATCCCCCTCCAGATGTACGCTCTTCCTCTTCTGCAAAAGCACTTGAAAGTTATCAAATGGATACATGCACATTCTTCATTTCCATTATTTGTATTTTTGTTGTAGCTTCTTTTGTGTCAAGTCATGTGTATTGTGCTCTTCTGCTTATTTTCATTATTTATACCGTCTGGGGATGACTCACCCATATGGATCTCAGGGCATGTTTGAATGTTCTGAGTGGCAGCTGAACTTAATAATATCCCATGTTTACATGGCCTGCTTTTTACACAGTATGGCCCAACCCGCATCTCTCATTCTCTTAATGACATTTGCTCAAAATTGGTATACACAGAGCATTACATAAAGTCATTAATGTCCATGGAAAAGAAACATTCTCAGCCATGCAGTGTCTCTCTATAAACAGATCCGAAGATTATTTTATCGCATTTCAAAAGGGCAACATGAAGTCAGATTAATTTGGAAGCCTGTAATCTCGACAGCTCACTCATTGTCTCTGGTAGAGTGTAAGGATTGTCCCGGGGGGTTGGGTGCATATGTCCACAGTGAAGCAGGCCGCAGGTGCTGCTACAGACCTGTTTCATTGATTCACAGAGTGCAGAATGTTCTGCACGTGCTCTCGCTTTGCAATGACCAGAGTAGAGCCTTCAGGGAAACAGCTGGCACACACAGTCTTTCTACACAGGTTTTAGCTGCTTTTCTGAGATGAAAAGTCTTTGGAAAAAAAAAAACAGTGATGAACCAGGCTTGAAGAAGGACATGTTTTCTTTGGCCCAGCAACATGCATCCGATCGATTGTAGCCTGGTGTCTTAAAAGTTGGATTTATTGAAATAACAAACAGATGAAGCTTATGGTTCACTGGGAGACAAAATGATATTACGAGGCAGGTGGCTGAATTGATGATTTTGGTGTTGAAAGGTTATCAATGGTACAACATTTCCAATAGTCTCCTGCAACTATTGTAATGATAAATTGACCTTAAATATTTGGAAGGACCCTCAGCATGTCATCTAGCCATTGCAAAATGCTTCAGGGGTGTTGGTCTGACTGATTGTGGAAGATCTATAATATATTACAACTGCAACAGAGAAAGTTCTTCAGTACAGACGGTCTAGCTGAAAGAGAAGAAAGAACTCAATTTCCACAGGCACCTGTGCTTTGAATAGGCCGTGAGTGACAGCGCTCAAGCCGACAGCCCAAGAAGCCAAGGAAGATGGAAGTCAGGAGGCAAAGGCGCCACGCTTATCTAGGGGAAGCAGGCATTCAGAAGGACAGGCTGATAGGCTGTGTGGCCATCAAACCGACTGGCCATTTCAAAATATGCTGGACTTGGCAAGAGATTCTAAATCATCTGCAGTCATTATTTGTAAGTAGACTGAACTGTCAGATTTCATGCATCAAGTGAAAGTTGTATGAGAACTGCATAGGGTATAATCGTAAATTGATTTGTTTTACTTTTAAGCTAAAGTTTAAATGAAAATTAAATGCAGTTATACATTTTGTTGCCTCCTCATTGATCTACTAAACTTTAACTTTGGAGGAAGTGACTATAAGCTTTGAACAAAACATCAAATATATTGGACCAGACTCCATTAAAACAGCTTGTTTTACTGCAGTCAGTTCAGCCTCTGTTGAGTTAAATCAACTTTACATCCCTCTGGTAGACACCAAGCCAATGCCTGAGCTGTTACCATAACATAAACAACAGACAATTCTGCCTGTCTAAACAAAGAGATATTAGATACCAGATTCGGGATATATCTGAAGAGGGTATTAAAAATGTCTCTTATAAATCAAAGTCAAATATAAATCAGTAGCTAAGGACACTGACTTGCAACCTAATTGTTTCTTATTTAAGTTCCCAAAAGATACAATTTGAAGTATTTTAGACAAAGTGCTTTACATTAATCTGACCTAGTGAAAATGCCCAACTATATGCATTGTTGCCTTGGTTAGAAAAATAGTCAAGCAGTTAAAATATTCTGTTTTTAAAACTGTTATTATTTGACATCTGCTACATCTCAATTATTACCCTTCATTCTCACTTTAAAAGTATTTATTAAAATCACATAGCATTTAGTAGTTGTTCAGTTTTTGATATATACAGTTTTACTATAAAAAGGAAAAACATATAGCATGTACTAGCAATTTTGATCAAGGTGTTTTTCTTAATCACACATTTCATAAACTAAAAACGTGCTTAACAATCCTGAAGAAGAAAATATATAATTTTTAGGTTCATTCCATCCAAAGGAGCGAGTGAAAGTATAACATGGACTAATGTAAGCTGGCTTTGAGTGCTACAACCTTAGCTGCCACCTGCAAGGCTATCTGAGTAATGGGCACTCAGTTCATGACACGTCAAAGACTCCTGTGGGGAGTCCAAGATGGGCCCAGAAACCTGCTGGGCCCCGTCTGTCAGAAAGAAGGAAGCAGAAAGAGAGAGAGAGAGAGAGAGAGAGAGAGAGATGGCAATGTGGGCTGCCTGGCAGAGCTGGACTCGTGATGCAGGCTCACCTGGACTCCTCTGTATTCACCATCATGTACATTTCCCAAGAGGCGTCTTCTGCGGCTGCTCCGTGGGGCACCAGTAGGCTGACTCCTGGAAAAGAGAAAATCAATCAAACAAACAGGGGAGGAACAAAAATCAGCATGAGGCACACAGGAACGACAAGAAGTTACTTTAAGAGCAGTGTCCCCCTTTTATACTCTTAGTATTAAAGTGCCAGTTACATCACCTCATACCATAAAGACAAAGAGATCTATTAGTTATAATCTGTTGCTGCTATCAACAACTCGTCACTACGCAGTCAAGAAAAGAGAGCAGATTGAAAGACAATGATCACAGAGTACTTGGTGTAGCATTATTAAAGTCATTATATCCTTTTACACAAACTTCCAGCAGCTGTTAGGACTGCATAGTCCCTTATTACATTTTTTATAGTCTGTTGCAGCTTAAATACTTCTCTGTTCATATACCCCAGTCCTCAGATTTCTCTACTTGTCACCCTGACACCAGGTTTAAGACAGAGGAGTGGAGGGTGAATATACAGGGCTGGGGTGACGTCAGATGACAAACTCCTTTCACCCATAATGAGTTACAAACCCTTGTTCTCTCTCGCCAGGCCCCCGACCACATGCTCAGCATATGACAGTTGATCCCGCAGCTTTTATCCTTCCCTGAGGGCAACATCACTTTTTGCTTTCCTTGCCCTTTCCCTGTTGCTCCTTTCCACCCCCTCCATTTCCTTGCTGTAAAATCCATTACTCCAAAAAAAAGAGTCACCATTCTTCTCCCAATCCCCATGTCGCATGGATCTGTTTGCCGTGGTGCAGAAACCTGGGAGAAGAACTGCTCATATTACTGCCCGTGTCTGCATCTAAATTGCTAGCCTGGTGGCAAGGGCCGCTTGTGGCCACGTGGAGAATTGGGGGCTTGCACTGTGAGATGTGGCGGACTGATCAGGGGGGTGCACTCCAGATTTATCGCATTAATCTCCTTAAACCTTGGAGAGAGCTGGAAACGGCATGGCACGGTAGCTGCGGTGGAAGTTATTAGAGAAGACCGAACCTACTTCAAGCAGTAAAGCGTTCCGGTTCCTATGGGGCCCAGCTGACTCCGAAGCACACAGCTTCAGCTATAACACCAGCAGGATTCGTGGTCTGGCTTTTCTGTCTAACTTGGTCACACAGAACACCACATACAGCCCTCGCTGGGCAGAGTAGTTAAAACCCCGTCTGTATTGTGTGCTTAAGCAGAAGACAAGTTTTGAATGAACTAGCTAAAATTCTGGATATGGGTGACCAAGGTGTCCAACAGTAACTCATTACCATCCTCATTATGCTGGTTCCCAGTGGATCAGTTCATCTGATGCCTACACCTTGCCCCATATTGAGGACTTGCTGGATTAGCAGGAAATGACTTATTTTTATTCGACACTGCATTTCACCAAGGTCTACTGGCTGATTCCCCGATTTTCAGAAACTTGCATCAATTTTGCGAGCTTCTGAGGAGATTTCAAGGGTCATTGGCCTGGCCAATTTTCAGTAGCTGTTTGGGCCACACACTTTGTCCCAGTGTTGCTCATGCTGCAGAAAATCATTATTTATAACAATGAATGGCCACAGCATTCACAACATTTGTGAGCCATCTTCCAGTCATTGCAGAAGAAGAGCCTCAGTGCAGCCTTGGTGAAGTATACTGTTGGAAAAAGGAGGGGTTCGTCATGGAGAGCAGACAAGTCAATAAGACCACTGCTATTGCCACCTGTTTGTAACCCAAGGTTATGAAGTAGGCGAGGTCATTTCAGGGGCTGGCAAACTACTATTGGTGCTTTTTCACCAACTTTCTCCACCTTAGCCTGCCCACTCATGCTCTCCCCAGAGAGAGTGCCCAAGGTCAGGCCGCCTTCTGGGTCATTAAAGCTACACTCTAGGTTAGTCCCCTATTGATGTTTCCTGGCTTCTCTTGGCCCTTTATTATTTTACGGGATGATGCTTGGGAACAGAGAGAAGGTGGTGGAAGGGCAGTAGCCTGTTCTTCATATCAGCAGGACGCCATCAGCTTGCAAGGCTAAAGATAGATCCTTCTACTTCCTACATAGCTGATTCTGCCTCCTACAATGGTGCATCGACTTCTGTTCAGACCATACACCCCCCACTGACTCCACTGCATGAAGGATACTGATGCCTGGATCACTTCCAGGTGATCCATAGGCTGGGGGGGGGGGGGGGGGGCGACCAAGTCTCTGTTGATTTCCTCTCTCAAGAAGGAGGAGTGATGAGTGCTGATAAGGACCATCCTTGACTAGAGTCTGACAATGGAGGAGTTCAAGATGGGATACCGTAGATATACGGGGGTGGGGGGGGGGGGGAAGGGGGGACAGGCCTACAAGCCCCTTTCATGTATTCATTTATAAAACAATTGAAGAACCTTTTCTCTTTCACCACATCCTGACCACATACTCAGCCCACCTGCCCTGACAGCCCAGCCAATATTACTGTCTGAAATAAATATATCAGGGGGAGGTGGAGTTAAAGTAATGTCTATACAGCTTGCTAGAAAATTCATTAAAATATACTCTGTAAAATTGCATATGGCATATAACAGTGGGAGAACCCTTCCAGGACCCATTAAATTGTCACTGTGACATTGCCTGTGATGATGCTCCGAAGGGTGACTTATTCCTGCATTGGAAAAGGCCACAAGGCACAAAGGCCATATGTCTGTAACTGTTGGGTCCCGTGTTTGTTAGTACTGAGCCTGTTCTTTTCTCTGCCTGTGTGAGTGTCTGCAGATGTTTGGATGAAACTGTGAACCTTCAAAGAAATAAGAGAGCATTCTGGATCACTATTATGAGCCTTCACTGCGACCTTGCACTGAATAAGTGGTTATGGAAGATAACCTATGTTACTCAAGTAGAAACTAGACAACCAAAACTGAATTGACAAGGCAGAGAAGGAACCTTGCTTAAGTCATATACAGCAGTTGTTTGTGACTTAATGATGTTAGATAATACCCATCTCTACTCTTCAGCTGTGACAGTGAAAACATCTTAACATTCCTGTTATGGGACTGGAGGAGCTGTCCTCATGTGGGGCAGAGGAGACTTCAATCACAAGTACTCCGAGGAGATAGTAGCTGAGCTTCTCTGATGGATTTGTGGGTCCTGCCAGCAGTGGTGGCAGGATATCTGAGGGCTGACCCCAGAGCTCTGTGGGTGAGTTGGGAACTACAGACAGCTCTCTTCACAAGCCAGGTCCAGCTCGGTCAATTCATCATGGAATGTGGATTTGCAAATGGCATTTTCCATGACATTATCCCCTTTTACTAAGAATGTTAGTTCACTACATTACAGTTTTCTGGTAAAAAATTATAATAGGCTCATGATACAAAAAACATTCCAACGTAAGTTGATACAAAGACCCGCGGTTGTTGACCTTTTGCTGTGTGGTGTCCATTAAAAAGTTTTGCTGCTAAGCAACAGCTGAGGTTCTCAAATGCCCTCTGCATCCCTCTCCGTCTCTCTGTATTCCTCAAACAGCCTCTTACCTGTGTTTGGCACTACCAGCCGCCCGCCCAGATGCCCAAACACGCCCGTGGTCCTCAGTTGTGTCTTGGTAGGAGTCACTGGGGCATTCGGGGTGAGAAGGCCTGGCTTCTGGCTTTCCATGCTGCTGTAGTCTCGGTTCAGTCCTCGGGGGAAGGTCTCAGGATGCGCTTTGACATGGTACTCAGCACGATCGGCCACTCCCAGCGACACCATGAAAGAGCTCTGAACCTTGACCTTGATGTCAGGTAGGGGGTCAAAGAGCTCCTTCTCCATCAAGTCCTGGAAACATATGGGGCTGCTGTAGGTGCGACCCACTGTCAGATCTGGCTGCATGGAGGAGTTGAGCAGAAGTGGGTTTCCTGGAGGGAAAAAAAAAATCACAGCCTGACTTATTCACCATTAAGAAATATATGCATGTATAAATACTGGAAACTGTATATCACAATTTGTCTGTATTATAAGACCGTTGCATAGTAGTCATAATTTCATCTAAAAAAATGGAGAGAATTATTAATTGAATAATATTAGAAGTAATACACACAAAAAAAACAATCCAAAACATTCATTTTCAAGCTTCAATAGAGCGAACTTAGCATGATAGTAACCAGATTACAAATTATGTGAATAACTTTATACGAAAAAAATAATGCAACATAATAGACCTGATATATATATATATTTAAAAAAAAGATCACGGAAGAACCATTAGCATAATCTCTGCGGACTGATAGTAACATCCAGCATCAGCAACAGTCATAAAAAAGGTTTATGAGGTTAATTACTCACAGCTGAACCAGCTTAACATTTCGGAGTCACGGTCACTTCGTTGTAACTACACTGTTCGACTAACACAAATGGGTCATCAGGACCACCAGGTGTGCTGGAGATGAATATGGGGGGGCGGGGAATTCAGTAACCCCTCTTTAAGTGGAAAGGTTTGGCCAGCTACTGGCACAGAGCCAGGCTGGTCATAGAGGGGGTCCCCAGCACCAAGTGCCCGCCCCAGGGACTCTCTGTGCTGTGCCCATCTGGCAGCCCCCAGAAAACTTCTTGCCAAGATAACATTGGTGTCACAGAGTCCTTGCTGCCCAGCTGTTGCCTGGTGAGGGCTGGATTGCAGTAGGCCAGCGCTGTTTTTAATATAAGAAACTTGTTCATCACCATAATACCTGCCCCTTCTTAACATTCAGGATGTTTACATGCTTGTCCCCTGAACGAGGAAACTGCTGAGTACTGTAATATCTGTACCAGTAAGTTATTTGCTTAAACTGAGGGCAGCAGGGAGTAACAGATCAGACCAAATTTCCAGTTCAACTCGCAGCTCTGTTATACCCTTAAGAAAGGTACTAATTCTGTAAAAATTAATTAACCAAAAACTAACTGTTAATTTCATACCGATCCCATGTTCATTAGTCAATCCTAACAGTTCGCGTATTTCATGCAGTTACTATATTTGTTCATGATTTGTACTTCAATTGTACCCGAGTTACTTAGTTACTTATGCCCCCTGAAGTGTTACCAAATTCTGAAATGAGAATATGCTGAAATGTGATATTAAAGGTACACATGTGAGAAGAAAAATACAGGCTGATGTATAAGATATTTTATCTTAAATAATAATGTAAAAATGCATCTCGCAAAAGAATTATGTACAATTTGCAATGCGCTCTCTGACAAAAACAGCATGAAACTGCATTTTACGATTTATACTTAGGTACTTTGTTTTTTTGCTTTCAGTAGTTAGAGTAATATTGCTATAATCTCACCTTTATGATTATAAGTGTTCATGTGTACATGCAAGCATTTTATTCTACAAGTATCAGGATTCAATACAGTCTTTTCAAGTATCCCCACATCTCTATTTTAGAGACTCACTCATCATGACATGCTTTACTTTTCCATTTAATTTTACTGCTTATCTCTGACATCCCCCCCCATACACGAACAAGGCTACTTTCCACAAATAAGACTTGTACAGTGATCAGTTATTACTGGCAGACCTTTTACCTGTCTTATGAAAATGCGACGAGTAGCTTAGACTGAGTATATTGTATCACCAATGCCTAAGGCCATACGGACTGATGGAGTTCTGCTGTACATATATCAGCAAATATAGCTGTTTATAAATTAGGCTGTTAAGCAAATGACTTTTGGTACTTTTAATACCACTGAGGAAGGGTATAACCATGAGATGCTTCTTTATATTACATGCAGTTAAAATGAAAGCATAAAACCTTAAGGTATTTAAATCGCAGACATAAAATCACCTCAAAGAAAAGCGAACATACGGGTTAATCTTTATCCTTAGAGGAAGATCTAAGGACACGCCATAAGTAGCTGGCAGAGAATTATGTAATGGGGCTGTACAAAATTGGAAAGACAAAAGTTAATGAAATGGACCTCACATTAGACACCTTCAGGGATTCTTTTGAAATTAGACATCTGATTAGAAATCACTCAAGACGAGGATATTGGAGCTGACACTAATGCAGAAAGATAGAGGAAAAACCCGCAGCTTGATTAAGAATCCTGGTTCCTGCCTTCTACAGTATTCATGGAGCAAGCTATGACAAGGATATTACTTATATGCTTATTTTATAGAAATTGCATAGTGCTTGGTGAATGCTGATCACTCCAGTACACAGAGGTCCATCTAGCCCAAGCTGAAAGAAAATCTGATGCACTGTTATTTTAATTTTTTTTTTACCATGCTCAGTTTACGAAAAGCCAGTTCTCCTGTAAAAACAAACAAATATGTAAATCTTTTCCAGGTTTCCGTTATGGTTTCCAGTGTCTCGTGCAAACACTTCACTGTATATTAGACAGCTAAACATTCCTGGTAAACAAAAGCACAAAACGGCCCTACTATTTATGAGAGCAAGGAAACTCTGTGACCTCTGTGTCCTTGTCAACATGAGATGAGCTTCCTGCATTGTTATAAGGGGTCTTGCAGCTGCCTGATAGATTGTGGAACCTAATTCATTGTAGGTGGTGGTTGTGGGGGGTGGGGGAGCCTCCTGAAAAGCTGGCCTATTTAAATAGAATTGATAGCCTGACAGGTGGATCATGGCTGGGCTTGTGGTCCCTGCCCATGCGGCAGAGCGTGGGTTTGAGCGACTTCCCAGGCCTTGGGAGCGAGAGACAAGGTGAACAGGAAGCACACAGAACTGCGCGGCCCTTTTACAGTGCTGTCGGGAAAAATGGGCAGGATTTATCACCCTATGCTGCGATGGGAATCACTTCTGCTAACCCAGAAGTGTCACGCGCAGAAATATGGATGCCCATAGCGGAGAAAGGCCGGAACGCAAGGCCACAGCCTCCGCAGCGACGGGAGCTATTAAAGTGCATGACAAAAACGAAAGTGATGCTCTGGCTCCCACACATTTATCCATCAACATCAGTCAGCTCCACACAAGGGGATGGTGTGCATGTGTATCTAACGTGTGGTCTAAAGGAAGATGGAGAAAGTCCTCGTCGTGGATTGATCTTCTGTCCAGGCTGTAACAGAGGGCCTGATCCACAGACAAAGAAGGATGGGCAGTGGCATCATGGGTAACTTCGTAACACATCCAGACTCTGACATTATGTGCAAATAACAGGTTTGTATATATTACAACTAATTATAAGGAAAAATGTAGACGGGCATAGTCACCTGGCACCTTCATACGCACAGTGTCGCGTGTCGTGTTACCACAGCATAAGGCAATGCTCTCACCCTGTCTGGCGGTTTTGAAGTTAAATGACTGGAAGCCTCCTGTGAGCGCTGAAGAGTCGATGACATCTACTCCATACTCGCTCTGGTTCTTCCTGTACAGTGTGACGGCGACCACAAGGATGCACACGGCGATGACACCGGCAGCCAGCCCTGAGTAAAGCGCTACGTCGTTAGTGCCCTCCATACCTATAAGACAGAAAGCATTCATAGCTATTGGTCACGCTGTACATTCGCTGTACCGTAGTGAACTTCTCTCAAAGTTTGCAGGATGGCAGATGAGAAAATTAAATGAAAAATAAATGAACAGAAGGCATCTATGCGTCATTTATACGAAAAAGTACCTTTTTTACTTTATTTCATCAAGACAATTGCTATTTACTGTGTGTATAATGAATGTAAATATAAAGTAAGAGTGTAGCTCAGAAGATAGACATTCGATTTGAAGATCTGAAGAGGAATGAGGGAGAGTATGGGTGGCACATTTCGAACGCCTGCCTTCCAGTTCAAGTGTATTTTTTTGTTTTTCCACATTTAATTTTGGGACAAGATCTCAATTTATAGCACCGCTGTACCATTGTTGGAGATCTGAACATCGTCCCTGCGCCTGTGCGTTAGATGGGGCTCCTCAGGCTACTCTGATATCTGTCCTCCCTTAGTCCTAAGACATGAAGTCAAGTGAACTGGTCTCTAAATTGCCTGTGGTGTGTGTGTGTGTGTGTGTGTGTGTCCTCCCATGGACTAACTTCCCATCCAGGGTGTGTCCTTGACTTGTGCCTTGGGACAGGCTCCAGGTTCCCCCACAAAAGTATACAGAACCAGTAGGTAGAACATGGGTGATTGGATAGGTGGATGGATAGATGGATGGATAGATGGATGAATGGATGGATATTTCCTCTTCCTGCTTATTTATTACACTTTCCTCGGATATAATTTTCCAACATTATTTAAATCCAGCTTTGAAGGCTGAAAGGTTGTGATCTTTTCCGGCCAAGGGTGCCAGTTATATACAATACAGTCACACTGCGCTCCCCCCATCAGACAAGTACCAAATATGTTAATCAATCTTTAAAAAATCTCCACTGTGCTGTTTCCCCTGACAAGCACCACGGTGAGAAACTGATGCATCACACCAACATGGCTGTGAACACCAAGACAAGTTCTCCCTTGAAAACTTTAATTACTGACGCGATGATGTGCCAGATTTTCACACCAAGTGCATCTGTTGAGCTGGCACATCTCCCTCTTGTTCCCCAGTAAACTGTAGCCCAAAGAGGGTCATGCACACAAACCAGCCGCCAGGGTACACAGGCCAATTCCCTAACAAATACAAGCCTGTGAAAACGTTTTATCAGCAAGCAGCACCTCCCGGATGTGTGATAATCTTTGAGATCAATACTTTATAAAGATAATTAAATTAGCACAAAGACCTACTGCATACGGTTTAACACCTGCCTACTAAATACTCACTCTTTAAAAGTATTTTCTAGTATAGCTGTATATGAGGTTTTAATCACATGAGTTAAATTATGATGTTGTGTTGCTGAGCTGCAAAAAATAGCTTGGTTATCAAATACATTGTCCTACTCCTCTCTGCACATTTACTCACACTTTATGGTACCAAGAACAACACAACACACAGAGATTATGTAAAGCTCTCTTATTGACTGACAAGCTCGCTCGCTGTCTAGCTTCTTGTGAGAGCAGTTTCCTTCAGTCAGTATGGTCCCAGTTTATTGAAGCATCCTCGCTGCACAGATCAGAGGTGTAAGCAAAGTGCTAATGACGTACCAGTGAACCAATAAAACAGTGCTTGCTGCAGCATATGATTTCAAAGGTGTCAGGACAATGGCTTGCGACTGTCACTGGGAATTATGGGGACGCCTAATGCAATTTGATTAAATTAGTTCATTTGCAATAATCACACCCCATTAATTTCCCTACATTTCCGGTATGTAGAGTCTCTCTTTTTAATGGAATGCTTGAAAATTGCATATTTGAAAAAAGCCTAATATGAAACATGTTCTTATACTGGAAACACTAAGATGATAATATTATACCAAGGCTGAAAAGTCAAAAGGAGGTAATACTGATCAGATGAATGTATGAATTACTCAAATGGTTGTACAGCACTAAGTGCAGCCTGTAGAAACTGTTGAGGTTACACTCAGATATGTGACAATTTTTGCTTTAGATTTGATTGATTTTGAAAGTTTTTCTTTGTTTGAACTTTGCTAGGCCTGAAATACTCTTTGTAATTGAATGCCGTGCGGAGAATCTTTCACAAAGGCCCTGCCCTTGAGAAACACAGTTCTTGTCATTTTCCTGATCGTGATGGAATTTCTCCTTAGACAGAGATCTGCTAGAAAATGAAAAGCTGAAAGCGAAGCCTGCAGCTACTAGCCCACGGAAAACTTCTAAGAATACACTGGATCACTGGTTGGTGAAGAAAAGAAAGGGTAAGACAGAAGGCAGACTGAAGGCTAAACTGGCAAACAAATCCTCGAAAGTCTGTCAATAATACATTACATTTTATCCATAGCAATGAGTGCCATGGTACAGAAATGAACACTGGCTACCATTTGTTAAAAACTGCAATGATTATTCAGAATGGCTAATCTTTTATAAGAGGGTAATTATCCATCATAATTGGAGGAAATAATTACTATTACCATATAGCTCCACCCAAGTCCTGGCTGTGAAATCTAAAATTGTGGATTATGTTCATATTCTAGTTTTATTTCTGGGGCAAACATCAGATCACTGTGATACTCATCAAGTACTAAAAAAAATATCAAAACTGTGACTTGACCTACTGGAAATTTCAAATATTCCACTAGGCGCACTTTACAATATCAACAAATAAATAGATACAAAGTGACCTCATGGGATTATTGTGAAATGCTCCTTCCAGACACTTCTATTCCCTAGGAAACAATTCTGGTAAACTGCATGGAACTAAACACAGACTCACCGATTGTTTGCCAAAAACCTGGTTTAGGGTCATGCATTTAGCTAAAGATTCAACTAAAGATTCACAGTTTTAAAAAAATCCTGTACCTCAGAGCACAGAGTGGGCCTAGCAGTGATTGTACCTTTATGTGATATCTTACAGATGGAATGAAAGAGTCTGAACAAACTTCTTGACGATATTTGTGATTTTTCTTGAATTTGGGGAGTTCCTTTAGCTTACTTAAAATGTAAAATTAAGTCCTTTTATTATGTACAGTACACTGATGATACAGAAACTCTTTGTAAAGATTTTCTAATCCTCCATTCCACTAATGCACGAGTAATGAGTAACAAAATATTCAAATAACGGTATTAGTCATTACTATAAACTGTATACTGTATGTGTAAATAACTGTATAATACAATATATATACAATAGTCCTAAATATTTTACATTAGTTACTAATTTCAATCACATGCCTTCTGTTAAACTGGTGAGCTGTTGCTTATAAAGAGATACTGACAAAAATGTTTTTAATGGTTTTCAACAGCTGCACCTTTTTCTGAAGTACAGTCATTATACTGTAGAAATACAATTAACATTAATTGAGCAACCTGGTTTTCAATCTCACCATGTCCACTAAATGGCCGCTTCTGTCGACCTAAGAAGTAAAACACACCAATCAGCCTTTTCAGAATCTCATGGTTTCCTCACCATGTCTTTGTGTTTAGCTAACTGGAGACGCACACCTTCGTCCACCAAACTCAGGGGCAGTTCTGGGGCGCGGTGGGGCCATGCATGCTGTCACAGGGGCACTGTGCCCCCCCCTAAATATGTATACTACTTGGGTCTGAAATAAATGTATTATTATTATTTACATTTATATACATGGACTAAAAATTTGTGCGCTGGGAACAGGTGAAATACAAAGGCATGCACATTTTTGTGATGGACTCCTAACGTGGGTGTGCGAGGTGGTTGAGTCACTTCAGTTTTCGTGAAAAGTGAAATTAACGACAGAAAAAATTGCTTGGTCAAGCAAGACAATCTAAACAAGGAGTCAGAGTGAGCTGCATGTTTCTAAAAACTGTAAAATGTAACTGCAAAGCATTTGCATAAATACCACTGGTTTTCAAAATTGTCTTTTGCTTCTTAACGCTGGACATCTAGTGTAATAAATTTTTGGAGGACATTTAGGTCAAATGCATCTGCCCCCCCTAACAGAGCAACTGGCCTCAGTGCCCCCACCCCCCAGTTTGAAATGGTCTAGAATAGCCACTGATCAAACTACCAGTTCTCACTAAGGTTGGCGCTTTCGATCTGAAGAAATAATGGAGTCTACCCCCACCTCTGCGGGTCCACCACGATAAAATTTGTAGGTGGGAGGGATCGATTGCACGGTTGAAAAATACGGGACAAACTGGATACAGTATTTTATTTTTCAATACGGAGCGATTGCACAAATAAAAGGGCAGGTGCAAAGCTCAAATCCTCAAATTTCCCAAAACATTAAATTGCCTAACAGCTTTGACATGCTCCTTTTGCACATTAAAAAACTGGCCATTCTTATTTACAGTATATACACAGAATTAGCTACAGTCAATAAGAAGAATATTATAATGATATTTGGCTCTTTCACTTACACTACTTCAATTCCTTGCCCACAAACCAAAAAGGAACACTGGTGAACAAGTGGAGATGGTCGAACCCATGTTTTAAATGGCTAAACATGAGTAAATCATCTTTGTGTTGAGAAAACACATATTTTGTGTTATCTGAATGTTCTGTTTTGTTTATCTTTTCATTTTGTGATGAAAATTTGCTCCGCCATTAGTTAACACACATGGGACTGATGCCCAAAGTGTAACTCAGGCAGTTTTGTCCGATAATTTTTCATTACATTTGTTCTGCCTTAAACCATACACAGCAAAGAGAAACCCCAGTTTGATTCCTTGCATTTTGCTGATGCCAGCATGTTTTTTGTTAGTGCTCCTCCACATCCGCCGTTACACCCATCTCCAGTCTCACACACAAAGTCCCCATTCATTCCTGTGATCCATCCACTGTCTGTAGCTTCTTATCCTATTCAAGGTCATGGGGGGTTTGGAGCCTATGGGTGAAAGGCAGGGAACAACAACCCAGGGCAGGGTGCCAACCCATTGCAGGGCACATTACAGGGCACATGCAGACCCATGGGCAACTGAAAAACTCTGAGTAACCTCAGCATGTTTTGGGACTGTGGGGGGGGGGGGGAAGGGGACTACCTAGGGGAAACCCCATCATGACATGGGAAGAACCTGCAAAGTCAACACACATGGAGCCTTGAACCCTGCTCCCACAAGTATGAGCCAACAGAGCTAAGCACCACCCTTCTCTGCCAACCCCGTGCTAATGAATTTCCCCTGGGATCAATAGAGTATATCTGACTATTTATTTAGAGTGTTTTTCTTAAGCATTCAACCTGGAGCAGATCTTACCAGCCTCCTTACTGATGCAGCACAACAAAACAATGGATAAGTAAAATTTATCATACTTTAAACCATGGAAACAGTGAGGTTCAATTACTTGGGGTTTTACAACACCAATATAAATGTCTTGTCACCTCTAAGTTCTGAGGCCATAAAACTTTGTTTTGCAGAGTCAGCATAAATCTTAATTTTCAACACAGGCTTGTCTTTTAATACTCATTTTAAACTTCCTGTCCAAGATATTGTATATATATATATATATATATATATATATATATATATATATATATATATATACATACATACAAATATATATATATAACTCAGAAATAAATGATGCAAGACTAAGGCAATTTGTTACTCTTCAGCACCCTGAAAAAATAATACATGTAAATGTCTATAGCAAATCAGGCTACCACTTTCAGAGAACAGACTGTCTTCAAAATGCTACAGCAGGAACTGGAACTAAAAGAATAATTTGGCCCCATTACAGCTGTTCTGATGTCTATTCACCAGCTTTCCTGGAAATTCTGGAGCCACCTCAAAAATCTCATTTAACACACTGTAATGTCAGGTTGCCCCTAATATAACTGCACAGATTTATGTGTACAGTCCAGGTCTGATTGTGTACAGTCCATGTCTGATTGCAGGACTTATGCCCACTTGTAATTCCTTGAATAAATACAAGAACTGTCAGTGGTAAAGACTTTAGCTATCAGATTCCGTTCCACAAATGCGGGGGTTGTGATCTGAAATATGGGAAATTTCTTTGTTCTCAGTATTTCAAGTCAAATACCTATTACATACCATTTATGCTGAGCTTACTCAACAGTATCTTAGTCTGACTGATTTTAGTCTAAATAATGTTTCTGGTACTGCAGTTCATGCTAGTCTATGTCTAAGCCACTATGCTGTTGTCTCTGCTCCATGTCTGGTTTCTTCCAGAATCCAGGGTTCAGGAATGCACTGTTATATCTTGCACCTTGACTCAAATCACAGGGCTGAGGAGGACACTCTCATTCCACTCTGAACTTCAGACTGAACTATGCTTACACACTTGTTGCTGAATTGCTTAAGGCTACTATGCCTTATAAGACAGTGGTTAGGCAGTTAGTTGAACCCTAGAGTTTTTTTCTAAAATAACTTCCATATGACTATGATGATTTTCTGGCTCTTTCCAATAAGATTATTACTACTGTATTACTACAGATTATTACTATTAACCTCCAATATGTTTATTTATGATACGGTTCGAGTTAATCTTAAACTCTTATAGCATATTGGTTGGGAAAGGCACTATATAAATAACATTTAGAGATACGGCTGGGCTATATAAACGATATATCGTCTTATCGTCATAGAAACTTTAAACAATAAGATAATTGCTTGATAGAACACATTAGTCTATCACATGGCAGATGAATGAAATTACAACCAATTATTTGGTAGCCTTTTAAGAACAGACAACATATAAACACAATTCAAGTCTGATTGAGGTGTTGGAGTACGCCACATGCTGTTGTTTTGACAATACACGTGAGATATGGGAGCCCCCGCAGAGGAAATTTAAGGTGCCAGTGAAGAGAGTGACAGCTCATCAGCAACAACACATCTTTTAAAATAAAATGAGATATTGTGGCTAAAAAAGCAGAAAGACGTTGGTGGTTTGGCTGTATTTAAAGGCTAACATGCAACATCCTGGTTCTGTGTTTTGTAAGCTCTGCCAAAAACTTGTGCCAACTAAATCTGGAAATACTGTGAACCTATTTCACCGCTCAAAGCATTGGCTTAAAGAATACATAACACAAGCACTTAGTCACAGAAACCAGCAGGCTTTCTGCATCCAATAGGAAATAGTGTGGGGTGGCATCCCTGGACCCGGGTGATAATCGTAAAATATGGGTCAAAAGGAGTCCCGTATTGGTTCACAAGGGACACACTGTTTTATTTTTTGATACGGGACGATCACGTAAAATAAGGGGATGGTGGCAACTCTACCAGCCACGTTAAACCGAGCTGCCAGGCAGGCAGAGAAAAATCCCAGTAACCAATCGTACAGCCGGGCTTTCTAGCGTTACGCCCTACAGCAACAAAAGTTTATTTTCGTATTATTTATTTATTAGAATGAGATTTTAGTTTGTAGTCCATTCAGTTTGTCACCTTTTCATGATCTGAATTTGTTTAGGGGGAATCCTAAAGGAATTTTAATCAAAAATTGAAGTAAAGAAATAACGACTAGAATTATATTGTGATAATTACTGACATCGAGTGATATGTATTAAAAAAATTACCGTGATTAATTATTTAGCCAGATCACCTAATCCTATTTAGAACTGAATTTAACTTAGACTAACTATGAAGTGAAGCTTTTCAATGTAACATTTTGGTTCTTCCTCGTTCTATTTAGAGCTGCGATGTAATTAAGAGCACACGACGAACGCAAAGCAGGAAGGCAGAGAGCAGACTCACTTTGAGGTTTCACGTCATGCAGCAACCTGCGATCTGCAAAGACAGAAACACGGAATGAAAGAGGCAATTAAACTCCATTCCTATATCAGGAAAGTCATGCTGTTTTCAAGTCAGAGCGTGCCGAAAAGCTCAGAGCACAGCATGACAGGACACACCTCAGAGAATGATGTTTTACCACAGCCAAAAAAACCTGATACAGCTGGGGGAGTCACTGCAGAAAAGATACGTAATTCACTAAGAGTCTGGCTGGTTTATCCTTCACCAGAAAACAAGAGAGTGAGAAAGAGAATGATGTTTGGAGAAATACTTTGGGGAAAAAACACACACCACGGGCACTATTTTATTCCTTTTGCATTCTATTGCACTATTTATTTGAAATTTGTCTCCAGTGGATGTTATTCTCGTTTTTGACATGTCGGTAAAGGACCGTGGATTAGAATGATAGCAGTGATGATGCATTTGGTGCCAGTGATGAGATGATTACAGAAGTGAACGTGACAGGGACTTACTCTGGGTGCACTGTCCCCCAGTGCAGTTCTCCGTCGCCTGGCCTGCCCCCTCGCACAGCTTGCCCCCGTGCCTGGGTGCCGGAGCCGAACACTCCCGGCTACGCTGTCTGTCGCACTCTGGGCTGCAGGCTGTCCACTCACTCCACTCCCCCCAACCACCGTCCACTGCAGAGTGCAAGGCAGAGCACCTTTCACACTGCAAGTTCAGTCTGGGTGCAGCTATAGCGCAGCGGATGCAGGACTAAGGCAATTTGTTACTCTTCAGCATCCTGAAGACATGACAGTGAACACAAACCAGTTTTTTAGACAATGAGATCTTTCAGAGCCTGCATAGGAGAAGAGGCAAACCCAGCTAAACTTTGGAGGTTATTGCTTCGAAGAGTCCCTTTCAAAGCCATTCCTTGTCCATCCATGCCTTACAGTGATATCATGCAAAAAAAATCTTCCTGATTTTTATGCAAAGGTGTATTATCTTACGACAGAAAAGAGCTCAACCTACTGCACCAAATATATATAATTTTGTCTAAATTGCCTTTTTTTCCAGCTGACTGGCCCAGATCCTAATGGTGATAACATCTGTGAGTGATACACTGTACATTTAACCGATTTATTATCACTCCACTGCTTGGTAGACATTTTTATACAAAGCGATTTATTCCTTCATTGATTTATATTACAAATTGTTTCACTGAAACGATTCAAATTACGTATAACACTGAGGACAGTAACGGGATTTAAATAAAGGACATTTAGTTTAGGCATCCTTAGATACCATGCAGCCTGAAGCGCCTACTGAAAGGCACACACAAGCATCCAAGATTAAATGGTTGATCTGATGATGGTGGAATTTACTCCCAGGGAATAATATTAGCGTTCAAGCGAAAGAAGGAAGCTAAAAGGACGTGCTTGCACTTCTGCATGGGTCTTATTACCATGACAACAACAGAGAAATCATCCATCAACTCTAGAAATGCCAGCCAGTAATAGGTGCCTGCATTCACAAAAAAGGAATGTTGTATTGATGGGCTTTTTGCATTAAATAAATAATAATAATAATAATAATAATAAATGCAAGTAAATCTATACTACTTTGTGAGTATTAATCAAATTACAGTGTTTTCACTTGAAAAACTTTAACTAATAATATACTAAGCAGTACTGTGTGTTATGCATTAAAGCCATTTAGTCCCTTTTTTGTGGTCCGTGACGCTTCAAGGTTATTCAGTCCATTGATGTAGTCCATTCTGTGAAACAACGCGTGGCAACATTTGCGTTTCTTTACTCAATTTCTTAGCCACAAAGAAGAAGGCAGCTCACCTGGACAGTCTGCTTTGCAGGTGATCTTCTGCATGGACATGCCCTCACAGAAGGCACCCCCGTTGAGCGGGGCAGGGTTGGTGCATGTGCGGGAACGCTTCTGGACCCCCCTACCGCACGGCACGCTGCACGTTGACCACTCTGTCCACAGTGACCAGCCGCCGTTCACTTAGGGGGGAAATGAGAACGGACGGGGGGGGGGGGGGGGTATCTTAATCGGGGTGCGGCGGAGGGCAGCCCTTCATGTACGGCGACATGCAAACGGCTCTGCCAGCTGGGAACAGCCTGGATTTTGGCAGCCTGCTACGGATATGTTATTCCTTAGTGTCGCTCCAGTCCACATCATTTTCTATGCAGTCTTTGTTTGCAGCATTATACTGTATGTACACTGCAATGTCTATGCTCACATTTTACATTTACATTTTATATATTTAGCAGACAGTTTCACCCAAAGTGACACACATTCCAGCAAGCAGGCCCAGTGAGCTCCCTGGAGCAATCAGGGCTTCTTAGGGGTTACTTACATTTTAACAACGTGTCTAAGAAAGAAAATAAAAACACAACGAAAGGTGGCTGTCACTGGAGTAACAGGCACCAGATTACATCAGATGAAAACATTTTCATGCAGAAGCTGCAGTAGGATTTGTTTCTTCTAAAACCATTTACTTATTTTCAGTAGACGCATTTATCCAAAGCGACATACAAGCAAGGATCAGAGAGCAGGGTCATTCAGTCTCTGAAGCAATTGGGGTCACAGGCCTTGCTCAAGGGCCCAGTGTCGAAAAACCCTGATTTGCACCACTGACCTAACAATCATAGGCACAGAGTTCAACCCTGCGGAGTCACACACGTCTCGAGAGGTGAGAGTTAAAATGAGTGTTATCAAACATGACACGTAAGGAATCGATCTGTCCTGTTACGTGACGCCCATACGGCACGCGACTTACCAAACACCACCACGTTGGCTGAGGCGCTCCGGCGCTTGGCCACGATATTGCTGGCCAGGCAGGTGTAGTTTCCGGAGTCGGAAAGGCGGGCCTCGTTGATGATGAGGTTGTGGTCGGCCCGTGTGTCGATGTTGTCGTCGTTGAGGGCACTCACCGGCTCCTCATTCTTCAGCCACTCTACCTGCGTGCACAGTGACACGGGCAGGAATGACACCGGGACACGTCACACCTGCAGTCATTAAGCAGAAGGCTGTCAGCTATTACCACTAAAACACCAAGAACTATGAATTATAAACCTAGATACTGCTTAGTGACCCTGTGCCAGGAACAAATCGTGATTTGGTAAATTGCTATTATTTGCTGGAAGATTAGTGCTAAAGATTTGCAAAATGTCATACAAAGAGTTCACAGATCTCAATCTGGGAGTTTTCAAAAGAAAGTAAAAATCTATGGCGACCATGATTTTTGCCCTTCTTTTTTTTGCCAGAAACGAAAAAATAAAGAATTCTGGGAGCAGGTAAAATTTAAGCATTCCTTTGTCCGATCACTGCTGTACATTGACTTACAAGTAGGCAGAGCCCTACCTGACCTTGCCTAATGTTGTGCTGGATGAAAATGGAGGGCAGAGAAGACATTAACTAAGCCCAAAGAGAGCCTGATGTCCAAAGAGGGAAAAAAAATTAAATTGAACATCTCAGGATGGAATTCGTCATTAGATACGCTCTCATCAAGTAATGCAATGATGACAGGATGACAGGCTTTTTAAATGTACTAATTTAATCTTGGAAATAAGGAATTAATTTACAATCCTATGTTGGGATATTGGATCCATTTGGCATTCAGTAGTTGTCCCTGTGCGCAGCCATAGGGGTAATAATGAAAAGAATTGCAGTGCAGAAGGAAAAAAATGCACAGACAGATACAAATTAGCCCCGCAATTGTGCGGCAGAGGATGTGGGAACACATTTGTTTCAATTAGAATCTAGACGTCGGTTTGGAGGTAAGTTTTCAAGTGCAAACTACGTCCCCTCATTTCAATAAAGTAACATTTCTCCGTTAAGAGTGTTGCTCCTTCTCAATGTATACAGGCAAGATCTCGCACTCGTCTATCAAGAGACCTCTGAAAAGGTCAAAAGAAACACTGAACGAAGAGAAATGCAGTCAGGGCCATGGCTTGATATTCAGAAATATGACCTCACTCTGGAAACAGGGAGGGGGGGGGCATTTACTATTATTTGGCACCAATAGCAGTATGTGTAAAACTGTTAGCATGGGTAATAGGCCTGCAATGGGATTTAAGCATGTGCAACAGGCACCGTGAATGAGCGCTTGATTTTTTTTTGTGGGTTTTAATAAAAAGTTATGTTAAAGAACATACCCAAAGGCTCCAGCATTCAAATATATGGCAATTATATGGAAACACTGCGCTATAAAGACATATTAAGAGTACAGTACGTAACAGCATGTTCAATTTAGCATTTGGGAATCACAGGCAAAGGCTTGCGTTGGGATTGGTAATTATTAAATGCATATTTCACTTTAGATTTCCATCAATTCCCCATGGCCGACCAGCCAGGGCAGGGTGTCTGTGAGTCTGGAGCCCATCTCTGGAAGCACATGGCACGACACAACAATCCATCACGGGACACATACTCAGTCACACACTATGGACAATTTAGAGACACCTATTCACCTAAATTGGATGTCTTTGTACTGTAGGAGGAAACACAGCGGCCACAGAACAGCAAGGTAAATACAGCGCTGGGAATGAAAACCCCAGGCCAGGAATTGTGATGTCACAGAGATTAGCACGGCACACATACACCTCCCTGAAACAGAATTTGTTACTGAGCATATTTTCATCTCTAAAATTCATATTTTTGTATTAACATTTGAATCATGTGAGGTATATGAATTACTACTTGACAAATAGCATAAAAGAAATGACTAAATATATCTAATAACACAGATATATTTCAGATAGATTATTATTTCAGATAGATTATTATTTCAGATAGAAAATACATGAAAATTTCAACTGCGTCAAGATATATGATCATAGGAGATGGAGTAGTTTCAATCTAATAGCAGCATAATTTTCAAGATGCCTGGAGATACGTAGAGTATAGATTAAACCAACATTAAAACTCTGGAAACTAAGATGAGCTTTACTCAAAGGGTCTGAGAAATGAGAGTCAAACCAATGAGTCTTATGTTTTTATAACTCTAATAAATCAAATAGAACAGATAACCTGACCAGTACTGTCATATAGTAATTACATTAGACATTCCTTATAGAATCAGCTTCCAAGTTTCCATTTAAACAACATGCATGCCTTTACAAAAAAGAGATTTAAAATTAAATATCCAAATTACAATACTCTAAAGAGAAAAAAATGTCAAAATTCAACATCAGAATTAGGATTTTAAAAGTCAAGGAGAGATATTTACTTTATAGTGCAAACAGCTTGCCCTTCCTTTTCCTATTCATTCGCTATTCAAGGCTGCATTATAATCAAGGCAATTTTTCAGTATTCATCACAGTATTTTCATTAATCATAATTATCTTTTCTGTGGAACACAGAACTTTTTGGAGAAAAAAAAAATCAATTTCTCTATCTGTCTTTCTGCCATACACTGAGGGACTGTAGTCTTTGCTAAAAATCCTTTTGTGTATTTTGCAGTCATTTTCATAATTTAACATCACATACTGTATTGCTTCTGCACAATATATAGCTTTAAAAATTAGAACATGATTTTCTTCATGCAACATGAACAGCAAGCCGGATTACAGTTGCAATACTGTACTGCTACTTGACACATTTAAATTAGATTCCTTGATACCTTAGAGGTGTTTCTGATGTCACATTACCCTTTTCTTTTAAATTAAATTTTGCATTCGTAAACAACATCTGCAAGAGCTGCATTTTACATCTGCACAAGTAATTCCTGACTGGTTTCCCATGCAGAGTGAACCCCAGCTGCCTGAAATAGTCTCAACCTCCCCATATACAGATTGATGGCAGTTTGCTGTTCTTTTTCCATTTTTGTAAACCAGTTCCTTTGTGTATATATACATCCAAATGTAGGTGTTTACTCCAGTGTATAATTCTTGGAAAATTTCACATTTCTAAAAAGAATGTGTCAATTTAAAGTCGAGAAAAAATACGTCTGAAGTGCAGTTCAGAACCATAGCAGAGAACAAGGAAAGGGATAATCTTTTCTTTAACAATACAGCCATTTACTTTATTGCTTTTAAAATGCTGTAGACTCATAGCATCAGATAATTTATTCCTACAGAGATATAATTACTTTGAGATTATTTCTCAGGCTATGGAGCAAAAATCTGAGTAATCACATCACATTAAGTTGATGGCTTGGTGTCTAAATTACACAGTACGCTTTATCTTCCTTTTTCCACTGTCTGTGGATTTGTGTGTGTGGCATACATGACAGTGTGACGATAAGTTGTGGATTGGGAAATAGCGGCTGAGATCTCTATGGATCTCATCAAAGTTACTAATAGGCAACACTAATACAAAGCAGCCCTCAGGCCTCAAACCAGCCTACTGTGCCCTTTCAAACGTCCACGGTGTCTAAACCGATAGCAAAGCATGGTGCTAAACCATCTGAAGGTTATACTCATACAACAGTTCGCCATACAGTAATGCTATAGCCTTTGACTCCTATTTACCCATAAACAGACATTATAGGCGACTACACTTTTCACCCAAGGAATGCATGGCGAAAGATTCCAACCAGTCATTCATCCAGACAAATAAATTTATGAACAAGTAAATACATTTAAAATAACTTATATCACATGGCTGTGACCAGTGCTTAATTTGTAAATCATTCATGTGAGAGCGGAAGGGCGACGAGACAGACACAGCTCACAGAACGTCTACGAAACACGCTGCTGAAAACATGCTGTGTATTTTTTTAAGAAAAAATGTAAACTAAAAAACGATGTGAAACTGCATGAAAATTGGCCTGGAAATGAAATGTTTTTTTTTTTTTTTTAATTTTTTTTTATTTATTTATTTTTATTTTTTTTATGTTATTGTTTTTTTAACCGGAGAGCTGCTGGATCCGGGCAAATAGGTGCCGGAATGCAGACAGTCAAGAACAGAGTTGGTCCTGGAACGCAACACAAGGACAGGATATGAGCAAAATAAGCCACAGATTCAAATGTAATTTTGCAAGATAATTTGATTTATGAAATTTTATTTTAATGTTCAAATAGCTTTTTCACCTGACCAGTAGGGGTTGCAATTACACCCCCTGTAACCCTGGTTAAATTGCTTATGGGAGACATAATCCTCATAAGCCTGTTTTTGCCCTTCATCTCAGAGGGGAAGCCACTGGAAGAAGTCAGCCTCCCTCCACCAGCAAAAGTGTAATCAGTACTGGAGGCTAACAACAGAAATACCAGTAAATGCAATGAATTCCGTCATTGGCTTACCTCCCTGTCATTGGTTTACCTGCCTGTCACTGGTTTACCTCCCTGTCACTGGTTTACCTCCCTGTCACTGGCTTACCTCCCTGTCGTTGGTTTAGCTCCCTGTCACTGGCTTACCTCCCTGTCACTGGGTTACCTCCCTGTCATTGGTTTACCTCCCTGTCACTGGCTTACCTCCCTGTCACTGGCTTACCTCCCTGTCATTGGTTTACCTCCCTGTCACTGGCTTACCTCCCTGTCGTTGGTTTAGCTCCCTGTCGTTGGTTTACCTCCCTGTCACTGGCTTACCTCCCTGTCATTGGTTTACCTCCCTGTCACTGGCTTACCTCCCTGCTGCGTCACAGTTGCCACCCTCTACCTTCTACCCGACCCCGCCCCCTTCCTGGAGAAACACTTACACATTGCTATTCCAACCAACTACAGCTTATCTTAGATAAATAAATGGAAGGGGCCTGCTGCTCAACGTGGGATCAGGAAATAATTGCTTGGCACTAAAATGAAGCTCATCATTTGCTCTCTTGGAGACGATGCAATGACCTGAGATGAAAATAACAGGGTTAGCTGAGCTCAGCTGATTGAAATTATGGATAATGTAGCAGCTGCAACTTGAAGGAGAATATTGTGTCATCTTCAGTGGAAAATGTCAGATTTCGTGGGACATACAAGACGAAATTTTTGAGATAAACAGATGAGGTACCATTGATGGTATTATGGTCCAACATCGGCTGTCATGTAAGAGACCGGCATTAACTTTGAGCTAAGGACAGTGTAGGAAATTGGGGTAAAATATAATAAAGATGGCTTCATTTAAATGCAGTGGCATATGTTGCAGCTACAGGGGGAAAAAAACACCGTTTCGATGAGGTCATTCTAATCAATGGCAATCATGTACAATTCCTTATTACCACAGTTCTCTGTTACAAAAGCATAATTATAATTTGCATTCATTTTCAAAGAAATGCAAGTGACAAGTAGGCAATTACACGTGAAGTGTAATATACCAATATTAATGCCTCAAATTTACACTTCCTCTATTGTGTCAATTATTTCTCAGCAATAATGGCTTTCAAGAAATCATATTATATGATACTTCTCTCAAGTTTAAGAGTGGCATTTAAAACATGATGCACACAAAGCCCTCCCTGTCTTTCCGTGATGATTGCAGTGTCTTCAATAATATATTTATTACATTTTAAGCGCTTGTAAATAACTTTATTGCAAGACATGAATAATAATAAATGAATCATTACGTAAAACAAGATGGAGCCACTCATTAATATTTGCTTAGTAGCACTTGGGTTGTTTGAAACCAATTTCAGTCTGTTTATCTTGCATCGTAAATGTACAGCTGCGACGAGTGAAGCTGAATCGTTACCGGTAATTTCACATTTTTGTATCCCATATAAATCCTCCATTGTGAGGTGATGTTTCCACATTATAACATACATGTATCAGTATCATTACGGATTGTGAAAGTAAATTATAGT